CGGTCGCCTGGTCTTTGACGTGAGTCCCACACAACTAACCTGCGGTGCAAATTTGGGGAAACACGTAATGAGATACGTTATTGCATTCGAGGTTAAGCCAGGGCATAGACCCCAGGCTGAGTGGTGAGGCCGAGAGACATAGGACAGTTGAACGTTAGCCTTCAAAATTGTGAGGATGTAGATGTGTTTTGTTTTGTAAAGTGTGATAGGGCTGGCCCCTATATAAGGCCGGCCACTTTTACTGAACAAGTTCTCCTCCTTTTTAGACCATACTAAGTCTGTCATGTAGTGTTTAGTTTCACCATCTATCAAATTAAAGTAGCTGTGTTGAAATTGTGTTGGTGTCTTCTTTACCTCTCACTGCAGTCATCAACGACATCAAATCATGTACCATCCATACTGACGACTTAAAGTAAAGGCGTCTCGGCATAGGTGAACTACTTCTCTTGCCACATAGGTTAAGCCGATAGTTGAGTAGAGCTGTTCAGTGTTTCTTCCATATTTTTCTCTCGGGGGGGGGGGGGGGGGGGGGGGGGTGGGGGGTGGGGGGGGGTGGCACTTGAAATTTTCGGGGCGGACTGAAATTTCCGGGGGTGGGGGGTGGGGGCAGACAGTTAAAAGTATATATTTTCTATATAAATTCCATTTCCGAAGAGATGCCTGGAAGAAACTCTGGAGCTGAGCCGAGTGGAGCTACTGAGCTGTTGAGTTTAACTAGTATTAATTTAAATTAGGTTGTTTTACTTTACTCTCGTACTAAATCGACAAGAGCCACATTAGTAAATACTGACTGTTGTGTAGTACATTGTGAAACGAACCAATATTTTCTAATGCATACACATATAATGATAAAGACATTTGAATAGAATAAAAACCCAAGTCTTGGTTTGGAGTTTCTGAATAAATTCTAAACGCTTGAATCGAATTGTTCCTATTGACACACATAGTACGGGGGAGGTTCATAGTCACATTATATTTTATGCCGTGAATTTTTATAAAATTGTAATTATTAGCAGCTACCTTGGTAAAGGGCATTTTCCCTGGTCCATTATGTTTTTCTCTTTCTTTTTCATTATGTAGATGTACAATAAAGTACTTTTTAATACTTTCTTTAAATTTTCGGGGTTCGGGGATGGACTGGATTCTTGTTAAGGTACGAATTTTCAATATAAGTTATAGGCCTAAATTATATTTATTGTTATTTCCATTTCTTCTGGGGCTGGGGTGTATGGACATGCTTCGGAAGAAGGGATGCCTGAATGCAGTGTTTCTTCCAGGCTTCTACCGCCCCCCCCCCCCGAACGAAATGGACATTTATATAGAAAATATATACTTTTTATCAGTGGTCCGCCCCCCCCCCCCGGAAAATTTGGTCTGCCCCTCCGAAAATATCAAGTGCCCCCCCCCCCCCCCCCCCCGAGATAAAAGTCTGGAAGAAACTGCCTGAAAGAAAACACTGGGCTATTCATGTATTTACATTGGTCTCGAAAACACGTTTCATTAAATGTTCCAAATTTCTCAGTTTTATGCCTTTTATCAAATCATATTCAAAGGTAAACAAATATTTTAAAATAAATAGATCTACATTAACAGCTGAAAGGTGTTAGCTGTTAACATTATGCACAGATTTACACACACATAACAGTATTAACAGACCAAATTCAATTATGAATTTTTTAGACTTCCGGATATTGTTAAAATTGCGAAACATTTCTATATGACCAATCACTGTTCTTCGTGTGTACCGCATAATTTTGAAGGAAAACTCTAGTGCTAGAAGTAGAATACCTCTAGAGATTCTAGGCCCTGGGCCTACGCTACGCTTTGGTCAGTCTCTAGAATTATAAATTGAAACCATAGGGTGTACGTATTTTTAAAATACATTGATCAAGATTTAGAGTCTAGGTCAAGACTAGATCTTCGGCTTTCATATTTGCTGAACACTGTATCACGGCGTATGAAGAAGCTTATTCGCACGCACTGAAAACTTTGTTTTGTTTTGTTTATTTTTATATTTATAATATAAAATATTAGATCTAGATCTAGATTCTAGCTTAGATTCTAGATCTAGACTAGAGTATTCTAGAGTCTAGATTTTTAGGCCCTAACCTAAATTTTTAATATGACATTATTTATTAGATTTATTCTAGTAGGCATTTCGACTTCCGCTGTTTCGATTCGGTACGACCACATCCTGACTTTTTCATCGTACTTGTTGAAATTCGCCATTTTTTAACATGTTAATTCTCGCCATCGGAATCGAAGAATAAAATGTATTCGATGTGAATATTTGAGTTGAATTTCATCTTTTATACATACTAATAAATGAATTAGCTCCCGTTTTACATTGTCCGATACCGAAAGCGATCACCGATAATAGCAAATATTTGTCGAAATGCCGACGCTACCGAACTGGCGCATTGACAACTAAATTTCAGATATAAATAATCCTTTAAGTTGCATGAAAATAGGCTTAAATAGCATGCCAACCATTTGGATAAATAGAAATGTCGATTTGAAGGGGTTTTAAGCATGGGCCAATGAGGAGTAGCGCGATAAAACTCGTAGGGGTAGGAACGAGAAAGCATGCGTAATTTCATAATGGCGGCCGGGCTACGAGATATTAATAGATATGCGCATACGAATTTTTTTTAATAGCTGTTTGTTTTTAAATGGACTGTTACAATAAAATGGGCTTTAAAATAAATATAATGTAGATCTAAATTATTAGATTAAAAATGGAAAGAATGTAATTAGGCCTAATTGCTGCCTAAATAAATTATAAAATTTTAAATTAGCCAGATTTTTATTAACCTTCTTAATACCAGGTTAACTAGATCTAGCAAACTAGCATTAACGAATTGCAGATAGATTAATAAGGCATTTTTAAGTAGAAAAAAATCTATATTTATTGTAAACAGTTTAAAAAAAATAGAATCTAGATCTAAATGGAAATGAAAACACTAAAACAATAATGGGTCTAGAGATGTGTAATAATATATATATATATATATATATAAACTATTAGGCCTTAATGTAAATACTGACAGGCCTATCTGTAGTATCTAGATCTATAAAGTACTATAAAGGGCCTAAATTAAAAATAATAATGCCCAATTTTATAGCCTAAGCTGCACTGCATTACAGTTTTAGTTAAAGGCAACTATAATAGAAAGAAAACATGAACACTTTAATTAATGTCATTTAAGAATTTATCAAAGGATACGTCAACTTCACTAAACATTTTATAAATAAGAATACTGTGAAATGTCAATCTTTGAGTTTTAGCACACCTCAACACTTTTCATCAGAAACATTACAAGAACCAAAATTTTCTAAATTAATAATAACATTTTTACCATGTTATACACGGACACAAATCCAATGTTTATGGCAAATCGTTAAGTATATTGATCATATTGTGCTGTATTTGACTTGTAAGCACTAACTCTATACATTACCTGTACAATATGTATACTAGCATTCTTATTACTAACACCAGAATCAATATGTAAAGTTTAATCTTTATTTTTATAGTAGCAACAAAGAAGTGTAACATATTAGCCTGTAGTTAATCATCCTAGTCTAATTGCGCTGTACCATATTCAAGTTCACTATTTATAGTTTTCCTCTAGCTATGTTTATTTTACTTGCATGATTGTATTTTTTACATGCTCTAGTCCTAATATATAAAGTTTCATGATGGTATATGGAATAGCAACCTAGCTGTGCAGTCTGGAAATCCTCTTATGGCAGTCACTATAGAACAGTGCCACACCCCTTAATTTAACTTCATTATTTCTAATTACCTCTTTTCTAATTTTTATTTTATTTGTAGACTTCTATTGCCTATATCATTGAGTACAAATGTGCAAAGTTTTATCATTATATCTTTAATAGCAACATTGGTATGCAAGTTTAAAGCCAATCACACGTCTGGAATGCAGGTTACAATGAAACATAACAAGTTAAACACATAACTTTGAAAATTCATATAAAAAAAACTATTAGGCCTAGAATGATAAATTTGATATTTTTATCAATGGGGTATATTATAGGATTAATCTGGGTCCATTTTATCATTCTATGATAATTAGGAAAAATTTCCCAATAGGCCTAATTCTAGATTGATCTAGATCTAGCATCATTCTACTCTAGAATCTAGCTAAACTGACTAAACTGGAAAGGAGATCTAATCTTAGAATCTAGGCATTCTAGGGAGTATGTATACAAATACATTTCAGTTTTAGAGGTCTTAAGTTAAAGACTAGAAAATATTTGGGGAGGATTTTTATAGGGGTGTCCCATAATGATGATAATCATAATGAAATCTTTAAAAAAAAGGGTGTTGGGTTACTGGTAGAAATCTAGTAAAGTTTCCCTTTCAAACCTGACGGTCTATGGGGCAAGTGAAGTAGAGTTCACTTGTTTATTGTTTCTAGTAGAGTTCATTTGTTTCTGTGACCTCAGCACTATGCCCAGCCGCCTTTACTTTCCCTAACGTGAGTTAGGTACCCATCAGAGTGGGGTGGACTCAGGGACGGTCTACTGTCTAGAACCCGGATTCGAACTCGAGACTTACGGGTTAGCAGTCCAGCTCTCTACCGCTAGACCACTCCGTCCCTAGAAATCTAGTAGTGGTAGTTAACTAAAAAAATACACACATGGCTGGCTAATGTCAATGCTAACCCTGGTGGTACTAGCTCAATTAGTCATTTCATTTAGCCATATGTTTAGGCCTATATAATAATTAATATATAGGCCTAAACATATGGCTAAATGAAATGACTAATTGAGCTAGTACCCCTTGCTTTGAACAAAATAGCCCTGAGAGATCTCTAATCAGTGTTAAAGCAACTGCTTTTTGCTTAAACTATTTCAATTAGGCCTATATCTACTTGTGATATTTGTTTTCAGTGAGTTGTTTATCATAAACCATGATGGAAATATTTACTGATGCAGTGGAATCAGAAGATAAAGAAAATGGAAACTCAAATATAATGGTAAAAGTTATTTTGTAGCTGATTTATTTATTTTTAGTTAGGTCTATTTTAATATGATTCTGTATTTGGCATTGCTAAAATATTATTTTAACGTATTTTGTAGGATATTTTATTAGGCCTATGTTAAAAAAAAATTCAATAACTGCTAAAGATATCTAACGCTTTATCCATTCCTCATCAGACTACTAAAAAGAAATCAGTTTCTGGACAATTGACTCTTAGCTGTAGAACCCCATTATTGGATGTCAAAAACAGACATGCCAAGAGAGAAATTGGATCCTTGAAGAAACACACCAGCGAGCAGTAAGTTCTTGCTGTTAGATTTAAACTGAAATGTTATGCTGGTACTGTTTTTTAACGATATAAAATGTGCGCTCTTTCTTTCACATTTTTAAATATGATCTCACATTTTGTATCTATTTAAAATCAACTATAAACTGTTAGAGCTCTTTTATTTTATAGAAGAAAAAAGCTCTTGAGGTAACTCATTAGGCTAACATAAAATATGCATAATTAATTGTATCAGAATATTCTTATGGCAAAAATGCTAATTTAAAATTAATTTTGTTTGCTTATCATGAAAGAAAATTTTTATGAAGGTTATAAAAGATAGTAATTTCTAATTATTCTAAAAGAAATTTATATTGGCTAAGTATATTGGTAAAAAAAAATGAAGTTAGAGTATAAAATTTTATTTTCAGACTTGCTGCTTTGAATTTGCAGACACCAGAAACTCCTTGCAGACAACACAAAATAAATTCTAGAAGGGTGAATATTGATGAAATTCTTTTTTGTTTTATTCATGCAACTTTTTATTTTATCTAAATAAACTTTCTCCTTTTTTTCCCCATAGTCCTGTTTTCCAGCCTTTGAGCTGCAACGAAATGTTGATGGTATCCCGCAAGATAAAATAGTTGATACAGTCCTCCCAGAAATGATCCAAGAAGAGTCTGACATTCCTTCCACATGTGACTTGTCCTCCAAAGCTGATGAAGTTTTGAGGATGCTTGATATAGAATCACAGCACTCACAAGAAGTGAGCAGAGCACACTCTGAGATTTGTATTCAAACACAGAGGATTATAAATACCAGTTTTTACAGCTTAGAAGAGTTGGATGTTGGACAGGAAGTTTGCATCCCTCACCAGGATGCAAGTGGATCTTCTTCTATCATCGTTGAAGCAGGACACAATTCTACTAGCTGTCAAAATGCTGGTGATTCAGTGTGTCAAAATACTGGTGATTCAGTATGTCAGACTTCCAGGCTTGAAGAAAGTAATATTAGTGATGCTGTTTTACCCAATGAACTGGAACTAAACCCAGGCTGGATTAATGACTCCATGGCAGCAATAATAAAGTCAGGTCCAGAGGATTCAGTGACTAATTTCACAGAGGAGGAACTACAGGTTAGCCTTGTGCACTCCTGTTTTCATTTTGCTTTTGATTAATGTTGACAGAATATTGCTGTATATAATTTTATGGTAACAGTGATCGGCCTTTAAATTCATCAGTTTTTTAGTTCTTAACTCGAGAGTCAAATAATTTGAACTGTAATAAAATTAGGTAAAAAAAAATTAAAAAATATTTTATTGCAACAACTGGTTTGAAATAAAATATGATTTTATTTATATCGATGTACATTTGCAGTGTTTATTAACCAGGATTATTTTTTTAAAAGTTGATTTAACATATAGGTACACAAAATGCATAGTATGCTATGTTTAGATACTGATAAAAATATATTTTGCAACTTCAGCTTTTCCAAGAGTCCAGTCAGGCATGTGGGGACTTAAGCCATGACCACTGTTACAACATGGCTGCAAGTGTTACACCAGTAAAACAAGACACCTGTACTCATGAAGATACAGCACACAGAAATTTTATAGAATGCAACATTCAAAATTCTACCCCAATTGTTCATTCAGAACATCCAGTGTTCTTCAATCAGTCTTCAAACTCTGATTCTGTATCTGAAAAGGTGCTGGACCTTTCTAATGTGTTATTTGAAAATAATGTTGATGATGCCAGTTTGTTTGAAATTGTTGGTGGGGATCCTTTGTCTGGTGGCTGTTTTGAGGGGTTGACAGTCTCAACTATCAACAGGATGTTAGATTTAGATGTTTCACTTGGAAATTTAAATCTCTCACCTGCATTGAATCTTGACAGTTCCCTCGACATAGAAAATTTGCAGCCAGTTAGTGTTGAGAGCTCGGCTACAGAGCATTCACAGCCAATGTATGTTATAAATTCCTTGGACACAGAACAGGTTGACACAGTTAATATTAGCAGTTCACAATATTTGCAGCCAATTTGTGTAGACTTTTCACAAGTCACAGAACTTTCACAGCAAATTATTGATGATTTCCTGGACACAGATCATCTGCAGCTCGTTAATGTTGACTGTTCCTTAAATACAGAACAATCCCAGACAAGTATTGTTGTCACTGCTGTGCCTTCAGAAATGTGTATTGGTGAAGAGTCATTGTTGACAGCACTGTCACAACCACGTACTGTGGATGTTTCAACTCTGGCAGCTTTTCCCTGTCCCAGTGTTGATAAATCCATGGAAACTGACACTGCTGAAGGTTTGAACAAATCTGTCATGACAAACCAAGCTGAAGCCTTGAACAAATCTGTCATGACTAACCAAGCTGAAGCTTTGAACAAATCTGTCATGACTGACCATCAATCCACCACCACCATTTCTACAAACACCTCAATCCTTGCCGAGCAAGTTGTGTCCGTAGACTCTCACCAGAATGTTGTAGACACCTCTGTCTTGACAGATCCACCTCAAGGCATTGATGTCTCACTACTCACTGATAATATTTTCACCCTAGACCACAGTACAATGGCTTTTCCTGATTTAATGAATAAACAAACTATGACAGATAAAAAATTGCTGGTGGATGCTGAATCTTCAATGACCCCTTTAAAAATTAGCAAACAGGGTCGCAAGTAAGTAAAGGTTCTTTGATAATGTGATTTGATTTGTTTCTTAAAAATATTTTATAATCACTATTCCTATTAAGTAATTATTTTGTATAATAGATGTTTTATCATCAGCATATTTTAGTGTAACACCAAAATTCTTGAACATCTATTAAACAAAATATAAGAATACATGCTATTTAAAAAAAATTATGTACTACTTTTGTAAATAATAGTGATCATGAAAATTTTAGATTTACGGCAGAAGAAGTTAGACGACAACACCCTCGAACTGTAGCCAACCTTTTAGACACCACTCTAGCATCCAACCAGAGGCTGGAGAAGGAGGTTCTGACCATTACCAAAGATAGAGATCACCTGAGATGTGTTTTGAAGGAGACAAAAGCAAAGTTAGCCACAGCTGAGAAGCACCTGGAAACTGAAAAACAAGGGCAGGAGAAGCACATCACCATGCTGGAGGTAAAGTTAGCCATTGTTGGCATATCGCATCACTGAGGATATTTTAGGTTGATTTTTTTTTTGTATTGTGCTATTAAAAGTTTTATTTACTTTACTTCAATAAAAAATAAGAATTTATTTTTTGCAGTTTAACTTATGGAAAAAAAAATCAAGCTTTAGAAAAATGATAATTTGAAAAATGCTTAAATATTATTAGAAAACATTTATTTAGAAAGTTACAAATTATTGGCCTGTTGTTTATTCAAGGAGTTACATGAAGAAGCCACACTTGGGCTGCAGGCGTGTCTTGAGGAAAAACAAACTAAGATCTACAGTTTAGAGCAGGAGCTGCTTGTGGTTACAGACAGGTGTCAACTTGCGGAGACCAGCTTGAGTGAAATACAGGCCGATTTTAAAAAGAAAAGTGATGAGTTTGATACTCGCCTTAAAGAAGCTGAACATAACTATAGAGAAGAAGTAAGGCTTTCCCCCAAATTTATAAACTACATGATCAAAACAGTGTATTGAAAATGAAACTTGTGACAATTTTGTGTGTATCTTTAGCTTGCAAAACTTCAAGCCCAACTTGAGAGAAACAGTTACAAACGGCAGTTTGAAAATTCACTGCAGCTTATCCAAGAACTACAATCTGAGAAAGAAGAATTCTTTTCTCTTATGGGTGATATTGAGGGAGCTGCAGAATTACAGGTGAATACAGCATCTGTCTTTAAGTGTAACAAAATTATGTCCAATGCCACAGTTTTAGGTTTTTAGTTATACTAACTGTTCTTTATTCTTGATCCCTAGTTTAAATTGAAAGATTCACTCGTCCAGTTAATATCTAAAGTTACCTGTTACTTCAAGGATCAGTCACAGGCCCACAAACAAGCTAAATCTGAGGTATTCAATTGTGATTGTAAAATATTTTTTCTTTCCAAAATATAACTTTTATACTTCATGGAATTTATTAATAGATATAATAATTTTTCTTTTTTGTGCAACTAATTTTATATTTTTATCACATACTATATTTTACATTACAATATTAAAGTAATTTACAATTATAGTGTCTTTAATATATTTTTAGTTTTTTATAACAAGGTAGTTTGTTTATTGTTTGCAGCTAGAAAACCTTCAGAAAATTTACTCTGCTACTCAAGTTGAACTGTCCACTGTCCAGACGGAGAACAAGGAGCTGCAGGCAGATATTCAAAACATGAGTGACATTTTACAGAGGAGCAACACTTGCTTGGTTGAGGTTATTTACCTTTTCATTCCTCATTTATAAACTTTTTAGCAAATATTGTTATGGAATAAATCAGTATACTGACTTTTTTAACAGAACAAAGGACTGAGGGGCAAAGTTTAGTGTTTGTTACAAGCTTTTATTTAACTAGCTTCCTCATGATTTGTTTAAAATCCTTTACCAGATGGAAGAAATGTACAAAAAAGTGGATCAAGAATTACACGACTCACTGGTAGAAGTCATCAGGTTAAAAGAAGAAGTTACCTCCTCATCTCAAAGTGAGTTTGTGGCTAATCACTTCATTGATAGTACTCTGACTATTTGAACCTAAAAAGGGGTTTCCTATAATATTTTTTATTTGGAAAATCTACAATTCAGCAAGTCAGTTGAAACATTAACTAAAATAGATATGTTCCAGGTTTTGTTAGCGCATTAGTTAAATAGGTTGAGTAGTTTGTCTTTCTTAACCTCTTCTTAAAAAATTGATTTTAGTGATAGAGGATTTAACAAAAGCTAAAGAGATGCTGACCCAGGAGTTAGCTGAACAGCAAGACTCTGAGACATTAGTGTGTCAAGCTCTTCAGAAATCAGAGGAGCAAATAGTTGTCTTGGAGGAACAGTTAAAAGCACAACAGCAATTGTAAGCTAGTTATCCTCTCTGTGGTTTCAAATTCGCAAGTCATTTTGCCAAATTTTACATTGTAAAAATATTTGAACAAAACATCAGTTTTATAAATACTTTTAAAAAAAAACTACTTGTTTGCCATTATCATATACTGATGTTTACAGTGCTACAGACAAGTTATTAGGCAAGCTATACTATATGTATGAAAAAACCCATCAAAAATTAATATAACCTTTTCTTGTCTTCAGATTAGATACAGAAAGACAAGAGCATACTAAAAAACAAGCAGAATTTGAGGATAAAAAGTCTAAGTATGTTGGACAATAAAGCATATTATAAATCTAATTAAAAATTTGACCAGCCTGACTTCACATTAGCATACAACCACTGCAAGTAAACACTGAAACTGCATTGATGAATGTGTAACAAGTTAGTTATACAATATTATGAAATTAAAAGGGTGACTACGCTAACAAAGTTAATTTATTGATTAAAGGGTACTATTTAATGCCAAGTACCACTATCCTTAAAAAATTGTGTTGATCTATCTTTTTGACAATTGTTAAAATGTTGTTTCTAGACTGGAGTTGTATATAGAAGAACTGCTTCATACCTTGGATAGGTGGGAAGCAGATAGAGATCAGAGTGAACAACAGATGTACGAATGCCAGGAGCAGATGGTCAAAGATAAGCTCCAGATAGATCAGATGACCAAAGAGCTTGAGGCCCTTCGCAACATTAAAGCAACAACACAGGCTGAGAGAAATGAAATCCATGTGAGATATTTTTTTATTTCGCCCATTTCAGTTTTAACATACAAAGGATGCACTTTTTAAAAGTATTTTTTAAAATTGCTTTCAGGAGCTGAAGAATGCCAACCAGTTTCTGGAAGCAGAGAAACAACTGTGTATGGAGGCAATATCAGAGTACCGCACCAAGCTGGAAGGAGAAATGGAACTCAGTGCTAGCAATCAGCGACTGGTTGAAGCCCTCAAGTCCAACAATGCTGAATTACAAGAGGCTTATGATCAGCTTATGTCAGTTTAATATTTTATTCCTTGTAATTCCTTAATTTAGCCTGGTAGTCTAGTTCCTCTAACTGTTTCATTTTATCCAATAGGTCTGAGGCCCAGATGCTAGATGAAAACCTGTCATTGAAAAGCATGGATATAGACGCAAGTTGTACAGCTTTAGATGTTCTGGAAGACAGGATGGAGAATGTCCTTACCACCTTACAAAATAAACTTACTCCGGTATGGACATTTTTTGTATTGCTGCTTGTTTTCATCAGTTTATCTAAAAATTCTTGAATTCCTAATTCTGCATTTTAAAAAAAAACATACATTCCAATGTGCATAGGTCAACTTTTGAATTAGAAATTTTGTTGTTTAAATTTGTTTCTTGCCCTGTAGTCTCCACATGCATTTGTTTTTTTCTTTATTGGTTTAGGTGGACCACAGATTGTCGAAGACATGCAAATCCCCATCAGCTACACCCAACAAAAACACCTCCATGTACAGTGAAGGATGTTCATTTGTTACCCAAGTTCTCAATAGAACCAACAGCCTTATCTACTCAACCACTAAATCCCAGCTGTGTGACACTGATGACATTTCAAATGGAAGCAGATCTGAGCGCAAGAGAAATCCTGACAGGTTTAGGCAGTGCAACGTGGAGTTTGGTGCCACTGACGCCTGTCACGGAGCCGCTGCTGCTGCCATGCTGTCACCACAAAACCAAACTAGACATTCAAAGACTGGACAACATGAATCCAGCAACAGAGCCCCCAGCAGCACTTTAGATATGTCAGGACTAGAATTCTCAAAGTCATCTAACAACTCATTAACAGTGCAGAAGTCTAAAGTCTCTAGAGCACTGGACCTGAGTGGTTCATCTCCAGGTTTTGCCAAAATCCGCAGTATCCCCTCCACTATTGATAGAACTCTGGAGAACTTAAACAAGTCTAAAACCTGCAGTAAATCTGGAAATATTTCACAATCTTTTGTGTTGCAAGAAACCACACAACACACAGAAGACACCTTGTTGGTCAAGGTAATATAAATTATAATATTTAAAGTAATTTTTGTTTTTACCATTACTCCATGATTAATATAATTGCAGGAATTTCTGCATTTCCAATGTATTTTAATGTAGACATTTAACAAATCCCAGGACCTTAGTGTCTTATATCTGTGATTTCCTAACTTTTTGTCTTGGTGCCCAAATACTAAATTATTTGTATAACCAAATCCTAATAGGTCTATGTCTTGAAGGAGTGAACCATTTTGAAACTAAATTAGGAGTGAGCTCCCCTTATATTAAAATCTTGATTTCTTTAATGTAAAAAGGAATCACTTCTGACAATTTTTAACTAATGAAATTATTTACTAATTAATAGTATATTTTTTATTTGAAGATTGTACAGTTCTGTGGGCCTTGTTCCCTTCTCCCCTAGCACTAGTTTGCACCATGTGAAGTGCTGCATTACATCCACAACTACCTTATATCTGTACAACAAACTATATTTATGTACACAGGTCAAATCAATTGACAGGCTGTTTAATGATATCTTGAAGACCGCAAACCTGGCAGACAAAGCATCTGAATTGACTATCCGAGATCTTAAAGAAGACATGTAAGATTATAACAGCATTTATTACAATATTATTTCTCATAGACCAAATCTTTTTAAACTGTGCTAAATTTATAACCTGATACAACTCTCTCAACAAATTGTAGGGAAATCTTATCTGGAAAGCTGAAGTATCAAAGTCATCAAAGATCAAAGCTGGAGTTGGAGCTGAGCAAGAAAATGGAGTTGTTAACCTCAGCCAACAGTAAAGTTGAGGAGCTATCTTCTAGAGTCAATTCCATGACTCAGACCCTCCTTAATTTTCAAGACCAAAGCTTTGAAATTTCTGTATGTTTTTTAAGTAATACTATACAGCTGCAATTCTTTTTGTGTTGGTTAAGTAAAACAAATTACCTTTTTTACTAGCTGTTTTTATTTTCTTTCTTTTGATTGTTAAAAAGTCCGATTTAAGACATTGTTTCAACTGTTTTTATTATGACAGAGACTTGAGGATGAGAAAGAGGACTTAGCTCTGCAAGTTCGTGGCTTGAAAGGGGAAGTAAGTATCTTGAATGAACAACTTGATGAATGCATGAAGACAAATACGGGTACAAAACTGGATAGCTCTTCTGTACATGAAATTATATCACTGAAGAAAAAGGTCAGTTGTACAATCTACTGCTTAGTTGCTATTTATTTTTTGTGTGTTATTTATCTAGTTACTAAAATTGATTGGTCACTTAAAATTTTTTCCATTAGATAAATGATTGTGTTGTAGCACTACTATAGTTCACATTTTATATAGACTTAAGATTAGCGGTTTGATACTCTAGTTATAATACAACCTATTTTATTTTTAGATCAATGATCTGATGCTGAAATTGTACAATGAGAGAGACAAACATAAAGAACTAGGAGAAAAATCTATGAAAAGGGTAAGCTTTAAGTTTTTATTCTTTTTAAATAGTTGGTACATTTTAAACTGTTAAAATTTAAGTAGCATGATCACATTCTTATTGAATAAAAATAAACTCAATTATTAGCTGGAAACATAATAAGAAAAGTTTTATACAGAAAGTTTATGATGTTTTAATGTTTACAAAAGTCATGTCTGTGATGTGGGATTTCATATAACAGGCTATTCACATTAGTTTGCGAGGTTTGCTTTCTGTGTTACTCCACATATATTACAGCTATCATTCTGTGGTGTTTTGCTTTCTATCATATTTCAGATACTCTGATTTAACTTATTTTGATGTGTTGTAAATATTAAGCTTTAATTTTTTTCAAGATGAAAATTTTACAAAGCAACTGTGACAAAGCTGACGCAGAAGTGCAGAGACTTGATGACATCATTGAGAAAATAAGACAGGTTTGTTCAATAACTTATTTGAATAAATGACAGTGTTGATATGTATGTACAGCTAGCCTGTTTTGTATTTTAAGTTACTGGCTAAATCACTTAAATTTTTGACACTGAAATTTTTCAGATGTGCATTGACACCCAGTGCCAGTCTACTCACCCAGAGGTTTTGAGGATAGTGCGTTTTATAGATGGACATGATGAAACTGTGTTTAAAAGAACCAAAGTGCCTTGCTCATAGTGACAGTTTTCATGTTTGTGGCAATCAGTAATATCTGTACATGTTTCATATATATTTATTATACTGTATTTTATCTGTTTCAAGACTTTATTGAATGTTTTAATGCTATTGAATGTGAATGCATATTTGTTTCCCCAAGTAATGAAATGAATATAAATTCAACAATACTTTGTATATTTTAATCTAAATAATTGGAAATAAACATTTTATTGCAACTGGAGATTTAAGTGTAAACTTTCAATACTAAAGAACAATTTAATATGAAAGACTTTTATTCAGCACAAAGCAGGTGTATTGCAATGATCACAAAAAATAAAAAGTTAAATTTCTCCTTGAATGACAAGTCCAAATAGGAACTCTTGTTTACAATTAGGTACACTTATAAAACAAAGTTTGATCTACTTAAATAGATCTAATTAGGATTTAAATCATAACCCAAATAAGTATGACATATGGTATCTGACAAAAGTATCAACAAACAATTTAAGTTTATTGGTTGAGTGATAAGTACAAAATAAATGGATTAGTTTAATAAAACACCTAAGAAGATAAATTTTTAAAATTTAAAGCATAAAATCTGGTCTTAAAAAATGGTGTGCGTTTTACTCTGAGTTAAGGTTTTACAAACATGCGTAAAGAATTACCCAGAAGATAAAAAGAAAATAAAAATCTAGTTTTTAAAAAAATGGGCTTTTTACCCTCAGTTAAGGCTTTACAAGCAGTTACATAGAGTTTTAGAGTGCTTCCTTCATACTAAGAGCTGAAAATTAATGGTCATGTACTGATTCAACTAATTACTAACTAAGTATTTTTAAATAAGCTATATAATTGTTAGAGAAGTCATTCTCGCTTAGGATTAAAGACCTTCCAAAACAAATATTTTCATTAAAATTTGAACTGCTTACTAAATAAAAAGTTTCACTTTTGGAAGAAAAAAAAACCAACTATACTTGATCTAAAACTAGATCTATAGTTAAAAAAATAGTTTGATAACAACCATGGATTGGCATTCAAATAAACGCAATAAAGACTAGATTTAAAACTATAAGATCAGAATTCTATCAACATAGTATATTTGCTAATGGCAGACAATGTACTAGAACACTTCATTTAAATATACAAGATATAGCTGTCTCTGTGATAACAGGAAGTTTAAAATTTTATAATACTAATACTAAACTTGTAGCCAGAAAATCTGTTTTTCTTAAAAAATAATTGCCATTACTTTCTATTTTGTAGAAATATTTATAATTATTTTGTGCTTACTGTTAATAAAATGTTGAATAATTTTTGGAGGCCATTGAAAATAAGAGATTGTAATAATCTACTGTGTGTTTACTGAAAAATCAAATTAGACAGGAAAAAATCCTCAAGAACAAAAATAAATGAAATGCATTTGTTTTATTGATTTTTTAGTTTTACAATTTTAAAACCCTTTTCTTGAGCATAATTTATCTAAAGTATTGTGCAATCAATTGATGAGTATATTATTTTATATTTGTAAGTTTTTATTATCCTATGATGTTATAATAGTGGCCTCACCAGTTTCAATGTAAATAGTTTATATGTATTGATTATCAAAATGACTATGACATAAAAATAGTATATACATTTTATTTAAAAGTAAAAGGCAAAATGAGTTATTAATGAACAGCTCCATATTGCAAAGAAACCATAAAAATGTTTTAAAACTTTGGTGATAAATTAAATAGTTTGATGCTTGTATATATTATACACATCTGAGTAAAGCTTCACTACCTCGAATTCAAAATGAATGAGATCATATTAAAATTATATTTACATATGTAATTTACAAATAAATGTTTAAGGCATCCATAACTGTGTTACCATACAAAAATGTTTTGTTACATACAATGGTTTAGTTACTGGTTAAGATCTAATTAAAGGTTTTAATCATGATCTAAAAGTTTGACAAGCGCCATAAATACAAAACCTACCATTGCAAAAAATATATTTAAAAAGTGGCGACGGCTATTGTGGCCTATGTACATGCACAGAATCTCCAAGAAAGTCACATACAAAAATGTTCCTGCAGCAAGTCCCTGAAGTATGCTGGAAGAAAGTAGCCGAGCTTCATCATTCACTCCACCTGATGTCAAGGCTATACCCAACCCAATACCAATGGGAGACATGAGAGAGAAAAAACAAAGCCATAGAAAAGCTCGACATGGTCTGTGTTGTTGACTTTTGAACATTTCCAGACCTAGGCAAAATGCAATAATACTTTTGTGGATAGAGATGGCAGCAAATACCTGCCAGACTTCCGACTCATTTTTCTGTAATCCTACAGCCAGGCCATCAAAGATGGTGTGAAATGACAGAGCAACAAGAAGAAGGAACGCTCTCATTCCAGAAGGTGTGTACTCAGCAGGACCATCCGCGCGTCTTTCTCTGACTGCTGTATTCACTGTCACAGAACTAACTGCTGATTCTGGGTTTTTGTTAAGTAAACTTCGCCTTTCATCCTCGCAATGTTCGCGACAAGAAGCACTATTGCAATCTGTCTGAGGTGAAACCCCAACAGCACCATACTGAGAGGGAACGTTGTTAACCTCTGGCACCACGACTTCCAAATCCTGCACAGATGCGTCACTGTGTAAACAAGCATGCATGAAAAGCTCCATGAACGCCACGATGAAGAATCCCACTGCCACACATGTATTAAAGATTGGGAAATCCTCCTTTAAACTAACTTTTTCTTTGTAGTTTTCAAACTCTTCATTTCCTTCTGTCAAGAGGTGGAGAAGGAGTGTTGCTAAAAATACACCTCCAGCAAAACAATTGAGGTACCCTATAACTCTTTCTCTCAACCTGCTTGAAACAAGAGAGTTTGAGCCTCGCAGGACAAGAAAGTACGGCAGCACACTAAACACCAGAGTAAGGAAAATCAGCACTACCAGAGTGATTACTTTGATAAATAATGTCTCCATCTTGAAGCCACTTTAGCCACCTGTAGCAAAGAGAAAAAATTAAATAGATTAAATGAAGTATAGATCTACATTTTTCAAAACAATCAGTCAAGGGTTTTCCTAACATTTGAGACCAACTACGTCATCATGGAGAATGATTACTTCTAGAATTGTGGTATAGGAACAAATAATATGGTTATTACAATTGCTAGCCCTTGTGTATAGTTAAATTCAGTAGCGTAGCGGGGGGGGGGGGGACATATGTCCCCGGGCGCCAACCTTAGGGGGGGCGCCAAATTGAAAGTTTGAGGGGGGGTGCAAATGAAAAGTTTGAGGGGGGGGGGGGGTGCAAATCGAAAGTTTGAGGGGGGGTGCAAATCGAAAATTTGCTCTCGAGGGGGCGCCAAATTGGAAGTATGTCCCCGGGCGCCGGCAAGGGTCGCTACGCCTCTGGTTAAATTTGGGGGTATAAGTTTTACCAGTGCGCAAGAAGTGTTAGATTACTGGTATTTAACTAAGTTAGTAAGTACAAATGAAAAGTACTAAATAGTAACATATGGCTTGCTAATGCTTATTTAATTTCAAACCCTGACATAGATCTAACCCTTATGGCTTATACTTAGGCCTATTAATTTTAATAAATTAGGCCTAATGATTTAGCTAGTCATTTTAGAATTTAGGAGTTAAAGCCTAAATTAAATTAAATATAAAATTAAAAAAAAAGTATTCTAATCAATGCTATGGCTATATGACTACTAAAGTACTATATGAATATGTACACTATATTATAATACTATACCTATACTATATAGGCCTATGTAATGTATGAGTATGATATAAATATATATATTTATATGCCACATGGCTATATATATATAGTATGTATATTACTATAGACTATAGACTATAGTATAGAGATAGTATTAGATACAACCCTATGCCATGCCCTATCTAATATCTATAGTATTAGTATTAGTAGTATGGTGAGATTACCTTAAGAATTAATTAGATCTATCAATGGATCCAAATCTACTGTACTACAGAAATTAATGTACGGATCAATTCATTAGTGATCATTTCATTTTAATTTTGTGAATCTAGGCCTAATCCCAGTAATGATCAGTAATCACAAAATTAAAATGAAATGATCACTAATGAATTGATCCGTACATTAAGTCATAAGTGAGGGTGACACTGACAGTGACCACATGAGTGTCCAAGACGTAGAGTAGGTAGAGTAGAGGAGAGGGAAGTCTAAAAATGCTAAAATTAAAATAAAATTAATTACGAAGTGACTACGCGTCTCGCAAAGCGTGGCCCCTAAAGAATATACTACGCGTCTCGCAGGTTTGATTCGCCATCTTGCAATTGAAAATGCTTATTTTTGACTTCTCTATCACATCCGCTGTGGTTAAGTCAACAGTGTGCCAGCTGTAGTCTGAAATTTATGGACCCGGAGTTCAGGGTTCGAACCCGGGGTTACCTTTTTTTTTTTTTACTTTTTTTTTTTCATATTGAAAATATGACGTAGACTATGATTCTTTTTTTTTTTTTTAATAAAATTTCCAAACATCGTCACTGTCGTGATTGCTTGCTTGCCTTACGTTTACTATCCGGTGAGTGGAAAATCTCACCACGGCCCACGGTCGGCGAGGTCACGGAGTTCAGCAGACCTAAAGCATACGTCATAGACGTTCACTCGAGATCGTCTGTCTTCACTTCTCTCTTCCTCCCCCCCCCCCCTCCCCCCCTCAAGCAGATTTAATTTTTTTTTTTTTAAGTTCACGTAGGATAAATAATATAGACTTAGATCTACTATCACTATAAAGGACAGTGTGATTTAGCTAGGTTGCTGCTAGATCTAGGACTATCATCTGACCCATCTGACCTCACAAACTTCCCTGTACTGTTTTTTTTTACAAGTACTAGACTCTTATGTGTTGAAATAATATAGAGATCTAGATCTAAATAAACTTAAACTCGATCTAGATCTATTTCAACATTAAATTGTAACCACGAAAAAAAAATCGGGCAGTCCTGATATCTGTTTTTTTTTTAGATCGCGTGCCACCTAGGGTAAAGTTTAAGCGTAACGCGGAGCGAACTGCGCAAACTCGGCCTTACGCGTCACGCGGAGCGAACTGCGCAAAGGCGGCCTTACGCGTCACGCGGAGCGAATCGCGCAAATGCGGCCAATTAATTATTAGCCAAAATATTAAAAATAATACTAATACTTTGAATACGTACCATAAAAAGCTGTGCGATCAGCATCAAAGTGTTTAAATATCTCGACAATTTTGTATCATGGATGTTATCTCAAACACATTTAAATCTTATCTTATGTCCATGTTGGGGTCACGTCCCGTGACTGGTCAGGAGGCAACAACATGAACATAGCAAAGTTGACCCAGTTACCAGACAAATGATTTACTAACTTTGTATCTTGTTTCGATTTCCCAAAATTCTGTTCGCAATTTTACTTTGTAATGATCTTCCTAATAAAACTGGTGCAGGTTTCCAAATTATATTATTATTATTATTGTAGTTTACGATAATATATTTAACGAGCCGGCCCGCGGCATAACATACGCCGCTATTTAGTTGTTTCTAATTTTCAATAATTCATAATTTGTGAATTCGACAGTACCAACGCTGACACTGAAAATATTTCTTTAAAACACTATAAGTAGCTCGTTAAGGACCATAACCCCCCCCCCTTCCTTCCCCCCCCTACGTTTAAAATAGTTGGCTCTGCTTGTAAACATTTAGAGTGAACACAGCTCACTAAAACCATGTAGGGGTGGGGAGGTAGGGAGAGCGTTTGCAGCTTGTTTTCTAACGGCTCGAAGAGGAGAATTATATATATAGATAATCTACAACGAGCATTATTCAATAACAGTCCACTCTTTTTAATTTATATTTTATTCCAATTAATCATCTATTTTTAGAATATTAACAGTAGTAAATGTAATTTACATCCTTGTTTTTTTTTTTACAAGAAATTATCTTCCCTTAATGCTGCGAGTTAGTTATTGATTACCAGCATACTCGTTGATTAGACAGACCTATATTGAAGTATATTGGGTTGGGTTCAGGGGCGTAGCCAGGTGCCGCTATTCAGGGGCGTAGCGAGGGGGGCGGGGGTGCGGACCGCACCGGGTGACACCATTTAGTGGGGTGACACCAAGGCAAAAAATAGCAAAATATATAGAGAAAAACTCGAGGGGGGGGGGGTGCATATCGAAAACTTGAGGGGGGGGGTGCAAATCGAAAACTTGAGGGGGGGGGGTGCAAATCGAAAATTTGAAAGTTTGTCCCTGGGAAGGGTCTCTATGCCTCTGGGGGGGGGATGACACCATTAAGTGCCGCACCGGGTGACACCCGACCTCGCTACGCCACTGCCGCTATTGACTTATTTATTTCCCTACTTTTTTCCCTAATTTAATTATCTTAATTAAAACTGCCTGTCATTAAACATCGAGCTAATAAGTTCTTAAAAAATAGAACCAGTTATACGGATAAACGGCCAGCTGATCAATTAATTAATAATAGGCGAGTGACGGTCGTCAAGCAGTTGTTTCCTTAGGGCATCTTCCCGGAGCATTTCCAGCGCTTAATCCTCCCCCGGCCGTAATAGAAAAAAAATATTAAATTAAAACCAGAAAATGCGTATTTTAACCGTTGTCCACTCCAAGTTGTTTCAAACGAAAACGCCCGCTCCTGGAAGTTTCTAGCGACCCCCCCCCCCCCCTCCCAGAGCAAAACGTCTGAAGAAAAACAACGGAAACAATATGTCTTCGTTAACCCTTTATTTACGGAATTATGTTCTGAATGAAATTTTTACTTAAACAATGTGTTACTATATTGCTTTTGGCACATTCAAAGCATATGTCGAAGGAAATTTAGTTTCATAAATTTTTAATGGCCCAAACGTATATTGGTACATATAAGTACCGTCAGGAATGTAGGACATTTTTTTTCAAATTTTTTTTTTTACAAAACAGGAACAAACGATACAATTTATCAACTAATAACATGGCAATCATTATAGCTATCACTTTTTGTAATTATCACACATAAATACAGCACAAAAGTAGATATTGAGAGCGATTTTTACTGGATTTTCTATCGGAACACATCTTAGACCTCAAACACAGCAAAAGTTGCCGACATATCATGCTCCCTCAATCTTGTCTGTGGTCTTTCTCGTGTGGCAACGGTTGCCGGAATGAACATGCTTTTGCTGGAAGCTTCCAATAGCTAGTACACTGAGCCGCATAATAAACAAAAGCCTAGTCATTCAGCACGCAACTACTAGTAATCTATAATATAAGCGGGCTGTGTCTGTCCTTCCTTCCTTCCTTCCGTCCGTCCGTCCGTCATCGCTATAGATTTTGGAACCATAAAAGTAAACATTCGCACCATGCTGTGCTTTTCAGTGCACCGCAGTGTCTTATTATAAATAATAGAGTAGGGTTTGTTTATATAACGGCATAGAGCTATTTTATAATTTCCACTGTTTGTACAATTTTGCATAACGTAAAGAGAATATTAAATACACGCACATTGCTAAAACATATTAAAAGGATCAATGTCAAATATAGTTTTCGTCAATATTCCCAGAAAAAGTGGATACATATTAATAACATAATAACAGTACGGTAGAAAAATCTAATTAAACTGCTTAGTAATTTTGCCAATGGAGGTAATTCAAAGATAAATTGAACTCACGCTAAAAATGTGAATGCAAAATCTGCAAGACGGAATAATTGTTGGAATAATATAATTAGCAAAATGTGAATGCAAATTATGCAGACGTGTAAGAGTACATTATTGTTGGAATATTATTATTAGCATTGATTGATAAAAGGCTATCGTTTATTTATTTTATTCACTGAATGTACTGTTTACTAATTATAATTTTTGATCAACTATTCTCCATTACTATATTATGTCATCACGTTCATTAGGTGCGCAATGGTTTTAGTCATGAAACTTTATTGTAAATTTTTAAAAGTACTGAAAAAAATGCATGAATTTATAAAGTGCAATATGGTCGGTAAAACACGGCTATTCTAAATACTGCCTTTAATTTATTTGCGGAAAAGCTAGGGGTTTTATAACAGAGGCCTAGCAAGAGGGGGGGGGGGGGGGGGGGGGAGGGTGTAAATCGAAATTTTCCGCCGGCGCTCGGAAAGGGCGCGATTTGGCGCTACGGGATAGACTGTGAGCAATATGCCTTTATGATTACATTTAAATTGAGTTTATGTTGAGTGTTGTGTTTGTTTTTTCGTTTTTGTTTTTTCTTTGCGTTCGTTTGTGTTGTATTTAGTTTTGTTCTGTTCCCAACTTGGTACATTTAAAAAAGATTTACCGTGTGTTGTGGTTGTGTTGTGGTTGTGTTATGGTTGTGGTTGTGTTGTGGTTGCTTTGTGGTTGTGTTGTGGTTGTGTTGTGATTGTGTTGTGGTTGTAATGTGGTTGTGTTGTGGTTGTGGTTGTGTTTTGTTTGTGTTTGTGTTGTGTTTTTGTTTGTTTTGTTCTGTTCTGTTCCAAAGTTGGTATATTTTAAAAAGATTTACCGTGGCGGAGCACGGGATGCAGCTAGTACTAGTATAATTGTAGCCTACTAGAATGTTATGACAAGTCTACACTACAGTGCAAAGTTCATAAATAGAAGTGAGCTCAATGTGTTTAGGATAGCCGTAGTGGCCTACTCTTTTCTGTTTACTAATTAAAATTTACCTTATAGATCTATACTATATGCAGAAGTATAGATTATTACTAGTCTACAGGTATACATTATGTAAATGCTAGTTGTTGTAGGCAAGACAGTTTATTACAGTAAATATAATTAACAACTTAAATCTTACAACTAGAACTAGGCTTTGGTATACAAATGAAGCATACTAAACCTTGTAAACAAGCCTGCAACTGATACCTTTATTCTTGTTATTTTTTTACTACTAGAAATTAACATGTAATTACTATGTTTCCTAGGTAAACCATATGCCAACCTTCTTATAAATGTGTAAATATAATTTTTTGAGTACATTTCGATAGTTAATTTTCAAGACAATATTTATGTAACACCACATAAAAAATCTGCCATTTTCTAAAAATCCTAAAAAAAATGACCGTGTGCCCTGACGGTACTTATAAGTCCACTTGTAAACATCGATCTAATACAAAGACAATTTGATTAAAAGTGTATAACTATAGAAGTTAAACGCGTTTGCCTGACTATTGAAGCTGCCAATAAAAAATATTTGGGGTTGAAAACTTTAAAAATAAGGTAAAACAAAAGGAAATCAAGAACGTGTGTGAGAAATGTACAGAAAAGTTGTGAACTACCGATATAGCAAGACATTGAAAATGGCGCCACACCAGTAATTTTCAAAAAACATTGATACCTCCGACTACCGGCGACTCAGGGGAGATAATACTATTAATTACTTCAATAATTTTTAAAATTCGTATAAAATTAAAAATAATACAGGCACTTAATTAAAGTGGTACTTATAAGTACCGTCAGTAGATAAAGGGTTAATTAAGTAGGAGGTGTAGTAGCAGTCCCCAAAGACGACGTTTTCTTCTTTAACCATCAGGGAGTTCGGCAGTTGACATCAAGAAAACTCTCATTAGCAAAACGGCCGGGGGTGGGGGTAGGGAGTTACAGACGCCGACATAAAAATGAGCGTCTTCGTTAACCAATTAGGAAATAAAATCACCAGCCTCGAAGCAATGATAGACGCCTTCATTAAGTTTTTGTAAACGCTGACAGATCGATTGTATACATTTTCCAAAAAGGCGACAATTGATGTACGGAAAGGTAGTCTTCAATCAAGGTTGCCCCCTCTACCTACGCCTCTGGTCTGAAGTGTATAGTGATCGGCGACACTAGCTATACTTAGTACAAGTGGGTCTCACTAATCAAAGACTACGCAATAAGCTGTGTCGTTTACAGTTCAAACCTCAAGGCTAAAATTAGAAAGTCTTCTTCTTATCCATGTACAGTACTCGCATATTTACAAAGCTGCTTTCACAGATAGCAGGATTTTGCTAATCCCTTAAACATACGCTATAATCTTAGCCAGAGAGATATATAACCTATTTTAATTTTACCCTATTACTAAATTACGGATAGTAATTATTGTTACCATAGAATTTAGAAACATGAATGTTTAAAATGAACAATGTAAACCAAATTAATTATAAATCAGTAATTTGTTTATACATGCAAGTTTTCTTTTCCACTTTTCTCAGGAAGGGGTAAAGGGGGGGGGGGGACGACACACTGACAATAGTAAAAATGGGGATATCTATATATATAATTCTCTTCTTCGAGCCGTTAGAAAACAAGCTGCAAACGCTCTCCCTACCTCCCCACCCCTACATGGTTTTAGTGAGCTGTGTTCACTCTAAATGTTTACAAGCAGAGCCAACGATTTTAAACGTAGGGGGGGGGGAGGGGGAAGGAAAGGGGGGGGGGGGGGTTATGGTCCTTAACGAGCTACTTATAGTGTTTTAAAGAAATATTTTCAGTGTCAGCGTTGGTACTGTCGAATTCACAAATTATGAATTATTGAAAATTAGAAACAACTAAATAGCGGCGTATGTTATGCCGCGGGCCGGCTCGTATAATATATTTTCTATAAGTTTATTATTTTTTAATTGTTTCGTCAGGTGGTGGGGATGGTGGACATACTTATGGGATGGGGAGTGGGCATTGTCCCCGAAGAGATGCTCAAAAGAAACCCTGGATACATTTCTGTGCTGGTTTAAAAAATGAAACACCAACATAATTTTGTATTGGAATATTAAGTGCTCTTCCTAGCAACTAATCAACGTAGTCTCTTGTTACAAAGTCATTGACAATACCGAAAATCTGGGAATTAATTGAAGTCACGAGATTTTTTTATCTTTGTGGTTTCCGGTTATCCACGTTGAGTAGTTCTTGATATTTAGGCCATTTAGAATTTAGGTCTATGGAGATCAAGTTATCCTTAAAAATGCATGGTATCGTTGCTACGGACCATCCAAAGAATTTGCATTTTAAATATGAACCTTTAACACTTGTTGTTAGTACGATTTAACCTAACATCTTCGCCCAAATTGTCGAATGCAGTTAATATACATATTTTTTTCAGGTAAATCTTCGATGAGTGGGCTGTGCGCCCAGAGCACGTCCCCACGAAGTCGCTCCCTCCCCTCCAGAGAAAATGTCTGAAAGAAACACTGGTGGAGGGGGTTGGGGTGGTCATGGCTAAAAGAACCTATAACCTATAGATTATCCCACCCCAAGGACCTGTAATGAGTAATAGCAAATTTAGCTAAGCTTCTAAAGAGCAATCGATTCAATCCCTACGTGAATTAGCTAGTTCATAGCCTAGTTTAGAAGAGAAAATGAGGTCCACACAAACAATCGGGAGCTTCCATGTGCAGTATTTAAAAAATCATTGTGCTTGCCTAACAACCTAATTGTTGCGTTCAGTTAGAGACAGAGGCGATTGTAACACATCGAAATGTGGTTAAGAAAATGTATTATAATCTTGATCAGTTCCATTTTTACAAGCTTTTATTTTTTTTTCTGGATTCCTTGTTCTGAACTATGGGGACGGGTACGCTAATAAATAATATATCGACACACGCTTTTCTTTAGTTATTTATTTAAATACTGCTCCATGATTATATATTTAAAGGGACTAATTGATTAGATCTAATACACAATAATACAAAAGCTTATTTTATTTTTTTATTTAAAAAAAAATGTTGTAAGGGAGGTAATTGAAATAATTTAAATTTTAGAAAACAAGTGCTACGGCTCTTTTGTTGACATCACGTGATGCAAAATGGATACCACACTAACAAGAATGGATGCTACTTTTAGGCGAACTATGACTTCAGTGACTGATCTTTTGTTTCCAGTAAATAAAGGAAAAGATGAATTAAGACAACAAATCATTCGGAAAAGTAAAACATAAAATAATGATTTGTCTAGATTATATTCTGTTGCATTTAACCCCTAAATTCCTAACCAACTCAACTCAAACTAAAGACAAAATTTCAAGCTGAGTCCAGCATAAGAAAAAATTAAATTAGCAAGTCCTTGCATGACAACCGCGTATCATTGTATAATCTAAATATTTTAAACAAAAAGAATTCTGAATTTCTCGAATTTACTAACACTGCTATTTATTATTTTTATGTTGAATAATGAATATGAATGCAGACCATTTTAAATGTTATAATTAAATTATTGAATATTGACTATCTAAGTATCTAGTTATCTAAAAATATCTAGTGTCAGTACTCATCAGACAGTACTTATTCTTACCTAATGTATTCATCATAAATTTTTAGTTAGACTAATATGAATTGAATTTATAAAGTAATTATTTTCGTCGGCCCAATGGATCGCCATGTCTAAAGAGGAATCTTTACTTTTTAGCGCAATTTCCATTCTGGAGAATTGCGTTTATTAACTCGTCTTTTCTGGGAATGGATGTGTGTTCGCAGCTTTAAGTCGTATCTCCTTCTCAACGAAGCAATATCGAGGACTAGTTCCAAAAGCAAATATGTTAACAAAGTTCCGACGATGATAGTGGGCCAAAAAATTCCCGGAATTCCTTCCTGGATTTCCCAGAAAAGCCAAAAAACCTCGAAAAAATGCAGTTTTTGGCCCATATCTCGGCAACCAGACCACTTAGCGATTTGAAACATTTACCAATCGATTCCTGCCATAATTTAGAACAATATTGCCGAAGAAAGTTTTCAAAAATATCCTTTCGTTCGGTCACAAATTTTTTTTTAAACTTACATTATACATAATGCACTACAGTACTATATAGCAATATATAGATATCTATTTTTTGCTATCTTTTAGATCTTGCTATAAGTTTATTTTTTTTATTACTTATTTACTTATTAATTCAAATGTTATTTTTGTACCCTATTAATTTATTTATAATTTATATGAGAGTGATAGGGAGTTACAATTACAAGGTTTTGTTTCGCTAGGCCTAATCATTTTTTCACATTTTTTAAAAACAATAGAGTTATATGACTAAAAACCATTGCGCGCCTACTGAACGTGATGGCGCAGCCATGGAACGTGATGATGCATCTATTGAACGTGATGACGCGTACATAAGGAAATTGCGCTAAAATTGTCACTAGACTTTTTAATTAACTTGTTTAATTTAATATCCAGCCACTCGACACTCATGTTATATTTATAATCCATTATAGGGCAGAATTATGATTTCTTTAAACATGCTTACTTAATGGCAAGGTATAGATCTAGATGTTTGATAAATATCACCTGGAGCTTGATAATTAAATTTAATGCCTATGCTAGTGTGTACTAATTTTGTTTTATTTTTCTCAAATTTTAGCCCATGCATATGTCACCAATCTTCCACTGCAGATGTTGCTGTACTTCAATTGTTTTTATTTTCCTTTTTGGTACATTGGCAGCTTAGTAATATTAGATTTAAAGGTAAGCACATTTTTATAAATACATCTTTGTTGATTGTTCAAATAAGAATTTAAAAAGTTGGACTTGTAAAGTACAAAATGAATCTCACACCTTGAAAGAAAATTATAACCTTATTTTTTTTCAACTACACCTTTTAGTGGCAAAAGCTTGATGAATTGTACAGAATTGTTCTTGTAGCTGTTTACATTGTATACTTCATTATTGAAGTTGTCCGTCTCTATCTGGGTTACCTAGGAAACCTCATGGAAAGGGTAATTATAATGTGCCTGATAACTGCCAAGAGTTAGGTTTTTGACTACATTTATCTATAAGTTTTTTTTAAAATGCATAGAATTTTATAAGGACTTTTTTCATTGGCTACAATTTTTTGGTCATCTATTTTACAGGTACCAGAACTTGCAGGCAGCTGGCTGTTGACACTACTCCTGACAACTCCCCTGATTCTTCTTCTTTTAGTGAATGACAATGCTAGGGTTCTTCCTCTAGAACGAGCGTTACATATAGTCATGGTGATAATGGTAATATTGGAAGTCTTCACTGGATATTTTGCCATTCGATCTATGGTCAATTATCAGGTAAGCTTTTCACTGTAGATATCTTTTTTTCTATAAAATAGCATTTTCGGCTAGATTTTAGGTAACAAATGAGTAAAATAAAAACAGTTCAAAATAAACTTTATTTCTGTTGCAGGTTACAAAATATCATTTGCAGCAATTTTCAGACCTAGAAAACACAGACGATAATGGGGAATATTTTCCAGAGACAAGATATACCAGCTAAACTAACCACATTAACATTATTTAGCCTTTTTAATTTATGTAAAAAAATTCTGAGCCTAGACTTGTTATTTTAAGATGTGACTCAAAATAATCTCCCTTGTGTGTGAGGATAGCCAGTCACAGAATTGCATTAATGAGGCAACCGTAGGGCTGATTGTATTCTGTGACAAAGTTTCAAGTTAAGTTTTTCTAGCTAGTACTTTTAGCTATATATTTCTACCACATCATTGCATAAAAAATTGTCTCAGATCTAATTTTTATAGCCCACTGATCATTTGTTGTGTGCAGATGTATCCTTTAACTTTTATTTTGTTATACATATTTTTAGTCATTTTTAAACTGTACGTTTTTGTTTTAGTTTTAGACATGTTTAGTAGAATTACAAGGAAACTGAAATGATGTAACAGTTTATATGAATGACTATTTGTATATTCAAGTCTATTATTACTGTAAGTTAACTTTAATGAATAAAAATGTAGTTGCATTTCATGTAAGTGGTTATATTCAAGACCATTACTTTTATTTCTATGGGACAGATGTGTTCAAATTCTAAAACTAAAATTAACCTAAACCAAAAAATAAAAACACATCACATTAAATTTGAAGTTAAATGGTTATGGTTCTTGAATAGGATGTAGTGAAATAATTCTGAAACATCAGTCCGGTGTGAAGGGCAACTGTAATAATATTGTGATCAATCTTTTGTAAATACATTGTAAATTTGTAATAAATTAGCACTTATTTACAGCATTTTTATTGTTTTGTGTATCAGTAGTGTTCTGGTTATAACAGATTCATGTACCCAGACTGGATATTAGTTAAAACTTTAAATTCCTTAAGTCATATAGGCCTACATGAAATGATACAAAAAACATTTATCTGCATGTATTTCAAGTCAAGAAAACATTCAAGTCACATAAAATATATAGTCAGAAGTTCAGGTTAGTTGTGTATTTCCACCATCTTTGACCCACTGAGAACTCCTGGCAATAGTAGCATTAATAATCAAGCTGTTGACATCGCTCCCCACAGGTGGACAATAAATGGCCATTAAGTTGGAAGGGATCTGGAGACGAGGTTTACCATCACTGCCAGCATCCTTTTTAAAAAAAACAACTTCGGCAGTCATTTCAAGTTCTAACAAATACATATAAAAATCAAAGAAGATAAACATTTTTAAAAAGTTACCTGTGTTTTAGAAACAAAGTGAATAGGCAAGTGATAAGAGCTTGCAAAATTTTCAATTTCCTCAGTATCACCACTGCAAAATTCTTTATCTGTTCAAGTACAATATAAACAGTATTACTTTTATAGTGATGTTATTTTAAAAAAAATGTAACTAGCTATACTTAAGATAGTATTAAATTCTAGTAATTCTGATAATACAACAAAAAGTTTTAAAAAAGTACCAGCTAACAACCAGGCAGGTATGTTATTGATCAACTTATTACAGCTTCAACTGGCAATGGTAATCTATGCCAGTTTGGAGTTACCATTTATGCTCCAGACTCTTCATTCACAAAATGTGTTTAATAAATCAAACAGTAAAGGTGAAATTGAGTGTTGATAATTTTAGTTCAGTGGATATTGCTTGCACACAGCTTATCATACTTTTTCCAGATGTGAAACAGTAACTTAGAATTCACACACAAATGAAATATTACCTGATGTTACCAATATAAAACATTTTCCCACAAGATAGCGTACATCAATATAAGGTAAACTGTCTTTGATAGCTTTTAAGCTGAAAGATACATTTGGCTATAACAATTATGTGATATCAAATTAACATCATGTAGACACATGTGCCAATATCTTTATCAATAAAATTATAAACCTTGCAAGAAATAAGTATTGACAACAAAGTGTTGTAGTTGGCACTAATATTACCTGTCTCTATCAAAAATTTTGTAAACCAGGACAATGCTTTCTATAGGGAGATTAATGTTGTTCGACAATGGTAGTTTCTTCGTGTAATAGCTGAAATGATAAAATATAGATAATTATAATTTATGTCTTTGGCACAATTAATATGACAACTGATTTTATTTTAACTAAAAGAACAATGTTATTAACACTTTATATATTTTAATTTTTGTGTTAATAATTAAGCATTCTTTTTTATGCAACTGTCTTAAACTATATAAATTGTTGAGAATTTCATCAGTCAAACTATAAATGTCTTCATTATCAAGCAATATGTTGAAGTCATGGTTTTCCCTTTGTGCTGCTTCTTCATCTTACACAGTGTATGATTATGTTGTCATTTTAAATATTTACTAATTAGGCCTAATCAATCATAATTATTTAAATTATTAAAATCTTTTTATACTCGATTGCATCAAAAGCTGTCAAACTATTTTCTCTGCCTCAAAAATATAATAAGGGGATAAATTAGATTGCTGTTTATGGCCACCAAATAATAATAATAGTATTATTTTACTTACACATGAACCCCATTATCACCTTCAGTAAATGTCTTTAAATCCTGTGGAACAGACAGGCACTGTTCAGACGCTATAACCTATGTTAAAAAAATAAAATAGTACAATTAGAAATTGCCAGCAATAGCAGAGCGCTATTAATATTGTTACATTCATAAAATTATTAATATTAAGTGGCAGTGACTAAAAATCAAACAATATAGATCTAGAATCTTGGTAGAGTTCTTTAGTTTGGGGTTGTGATGTCTAATCCTTAGTGGTGGGATTGGACTTGCAACAAAGTGTGTGTAATGAGGGTGATGATCAGAAAGTATGCTGTGCCACCAATGGTATATCCAAAGAGGGACAGGAGGACTGGCCGCTCCCCCGATGAGCATTTTTAGAACAGTGGTGTTTTTTTAGAAAAACAAATTGTTTAAAACAAACAAGAACAGTCTGTGATAAATAACTAGATAGATTATAGATAAAAGTGAAATAGATGCTCATCTTTGTGGTTGGTGTCTGCACTGTTACTTAATGAAATGATTAATGAAGGCACCTATGAAATTCTTATCATGTTTTTGGGTTTCTGTACCTCTCTGATGATATATTTTATAATAAAATGCCTATTTTGTTAGTCACAGTTGGTGTTTGTTATTAAGTTAATTATAGGCCTACTAAGTTAACTAAGTAGGGCCTACTAATTAACTAATTATAAATAGTAGAGTGTTAGGTACTGTTAGTCTGTTAGCCCACGCTACCATTGGCTTAGGTGTACTGCACCTCAAGGTTAGCGCTATATCTACTTGCTTACATAGGCTAACTAGTAGAGGAGGGCTAGCACTAACAGTACCGTAATAGTAATACTGTAGCGTTAGTCTGTTACCTACCAGCACTGTTCGTGGGATATGAATATTTCTTAGAAAACTGTAAGGTCGTAATATTTTATCTGACGTTATGGAATCGTTGGCTATTATTGTCTGTGAAGCTTCCATTCCTAATTATATTAATTATTTAAGTTAGCTTAGCGACAGCCGAAAATCCTTACAATTTACAAGTTACAGTTTACAGTTACACTTAATTCATAATTCTGCCTTTCGAATTTGTTTAGATTTTGATAGATCATTCTTTTCATAGATCTACTCTATTTTTGTAATCTTGTTAACAAAAAGATCTATTCTTTCGCATTTATTCGCATTTTTTTTCTGTATTAGGCCTAGTACTAGATCTAGATCTAGATGATCTAGATCTAGTAGAGGGTTAACTCCGTGAAGAAAGTTATTCCAATGTAAATTAAGTTTTGTACTTTAAAATGCCGTAGGAGGAGGTTTTAGACCTACTTATTAGAAATATTAGTTATTAGATCTAGATCTAGAACTGGTAGATCTAAATCTAGATCTGGATCTAAATTATTTTAAATATTCATAAAAATATAAATATATATATACTACATTTTTTTAAGAACACGATTAAAAAAATAATATAAATTATTAATGTAGATACTTAAAATGTTAAATCTAACTCAACGCAGAGGCGTAGCGACCCTTCCCGGCGCCCGGGGACAAACTTTCAATTTGCACCCCCCCCCGGTCACACTCAGAATTTCGATTTGCACCCCCCCCCCTTCAGACTTTCGTGGCATAGAATTTTTTCATTTAAAAAAAAGGAATCCATCTGTTACATTGGCCCACTCATTTTCTCCTTTAAATCACCAGCCACGAATCTTATATATATATAAACATCGCACCCCCTCCCCTCCAAAAAAAAAGCAGGACAAATATCGACCACACAAAAAAACACTACAAAAACCATAACTCATAAGCTTCGGTGGGTGAAGGGTCCGGGTCTCAAGGTCAAACAACGATAGTTCACCGTTTGTAACTTTTATATTGTTTGAAGAAACACATAGCTGAGCATAGTTTATCAGTAGCTAAAGGTCAAGGATATCACCGAGAAAGCCGAACCTTGAACTCTGTAACAGATAGCTCCCGTTCTCCTTCACCGCTGCAACAATTAAACCACGATTGTGTAAACAATGTGTGCATGAAAGGCTGGCATGGCAATGCTATTCTTGTGGATTTTATCACCAATGCTGGAGCATGCGATTAGTAGACTTGTTCACTCCAATAACAGTTTATATAATGGCAGAGAAAATAACTTGCTATCTCATCGTTCAAAAGCAACAGTTAACAAATCTTTGATTAGTCTAGCTAAGTTGAAGTAGCTAGACCTAGATTTAATTAAAATTAATTAATTGTGTCACAGACAGGATGCTGCCGACAAGAAATGGGTTGGCCCACGTTACCATTGGCTTAGGTGTACTGCACCTCAAGGTTAGTGCTACTTGCTTACATAACTAGAGGAGTGCTAGCACTAACAGTGCCGTAATTATAATACTGTAGCAAGTCCAAGTAGTGTCACATGAATAGTCTAGAACTAGTGTGTTGGAAATTCATATAAGATTTAAGGTTTGTACTTATTATTTTATATCAAATACTTTAGTTTCTGCATATGAATGAAGAAACCAAACCAGTATATTATATTGAGTAGGCCTAGATCTATATTAATTATTAATGAACAAAGTACACAATATAGTATAGTAGAATCTATATATAAGACATAAGAGTATAGATCTAGTAGTATAGTGATATTAACACTACTCATATACCAAGAACAACAATAATAATAAATAAGTCTGCTTAAAAAAACAATCAGCACTATAAAAACAAGGCATTACTATATTTTATTTATATTTTGAGCATCCAATAACACAAAAGAATTCAATAAAACATTGTAAAACTAAAACTCATCAAACCGGGAATATATATGTAATTAATTGTCAAAGTAAAGTTAGAAATAAAGGAAACAAAGAAATTTCAAGCTTAAGAAGACTTTAAGACACCTGTGTCACAAAAATAAAATAACGTTTGTATACATTTATAAACTAGTCTGTATGTCATAAAACAAGATTATATAAGGATTACTTGATGGCACCAACATAAAACAAAAGTATAATAAAAACTGAATTAGTACAAGCAAATTACAGTTTATAAATATGAGTAAAATTTGCAACTGTCTAGAATGGTCTAGCAAGTTTTGATTCACAACATTGTTAACAAATTTTTTATAAGAAGATAATTGTTTCATGTACAAGATGGTATTACAATTCAGGTTTTTAATTTGTTCAGGTAAACAATGCGATATCATTATCCAGTGTTAGTAAACAGAACACTTTTTCATGCAAACAATAACAAATATCATTAAGTTGTTCAAAATATTGCTTCACTGAAGGACATAAAAACAAAAATTTAAAAAACAAAAGTTTTGTATAATGAATTAACCTTAAAAATTTAACTTGTTCAAAATTAACAATTGGATCAACATTGAGTCAGGTTTTAAATATTTGTTCCATAACAAAAGTGAATAAAAATATATGCAAAAATGACAGTTTAAAAAAATTAAAAGCCAGTCAACAAGTTCTATTCACAAAAAAAACCACCATCACAACAGCAGCAGGCTCTGCTAGAGCTGGAAGCCTAATGTTATGGGAATGCTAGGCAGTATTGCTAATCTTGGTCCCCTTCTAACTAGGGGTCATAAACTACATGTAGCTGATCAGCTATGTGTCATTATTAGTTTTTTTTTTAAAAAATATGGTCAGTAAATCAACACAACTGGTTGTAATAATCTGGATTTTCATAGGCAATGGATATAAGTAATTAAATTATATGACATGATATAGAATTGCCTTTTTTGAGAATGAGACAGACTTTGTTTATGTTGGTGGTCTAACATCTGGGATAATTACAAGCTGATCAACACTTAACTATTATTACTGTTTCTCATTACATTAAAGCCATGGACACTCAGCTAAGTCACCACTTGTATATCTGCGGCTGTCTATGTGGTATTTACAGGTGGGAGGTTAATTGGCCAGCCATCCTCCGTCCACTATAAGGGAGGTTCCGGTCATCTGGTTGGCAGCAGGGGAGCACAAAAAGGCCACACAATCTGAAATCTGTAAAATAAAAACTTGTTCAGAGAAAAATTTTTGCTTTCCACATAAGTTACTTCAAAACAACTGTCATACTTAAAAGACAACTTTGCAGTCTTATCATTCACAACCAAATTAATTAAAAACAATATTTCTTAATAATTGTCATTGTGTTAACGTTAAAACAATCCAAAGTACAAAATTAATTTTATATTTAAAATAAAAACAATCCTAAAAAGGGAGGAAACCCATATTAAGCAAAAATGTTTTATTCATTTGATTTCTACAGTTATTTTGCTTTATACATCAAAAAAAAAAAATTAAATTGTAAGATAAACAAATACTAATTCTTCCATTAGAGTAGCTTATACTATAATTTTTTATTCAAGCGAGTTTACCCATAAAAAAATAAACAAACCGCCATAGTTAATTGGGCAGGACTATTTCTTTAAACTCACCTCATCAACTTGCACTGCTGTACCAGAAGGATGGACACGTAATATATGTTTCTAAAAATGAAAAAGGGAAACAACAATGTAATGTTTCATTTCGAGGGGTTGTTAAAAAATCCAATTAAAAATATAGATGAAGAAAATAAAACATGCAATATAATACAAACGGTAGGCCGATATTTGCATTTTTACTATAAGTTATTTAAATATATGATAAAGTTTTGTATTGTATGCAAATCAAATTGTTTTAGAAACTAAATTTAGCTCTGCTAGTGACACACAATTTGTAAACATAATTGGAATTCTTTAATAATGTTTAAAGACTTTTCATCAATACTAACATACTAAAACAGACTGAACATCTAGGTTTAATTAATGTCAACCTTGGATTGTATTCACCATTAGCATAATATAACCTGATGACGATTTGCATGAGCTTTACACATGAATTATTTCCCTTGTTTGTGTAAGGAGCTCAAACAAATGTTAATTTTTCTATAATATTAACCTAAAGGCAACAATACATCAAATTAAAAGTTTTTCAGTAGTAATAATTTTTGAAAATATAAAACAAAACAGAAAACCCTAGTTAAATTAAATGTCACGTAGAAATGTATTAAAAAGTGGAAATGTTAATGCAATTAACTCGTACCTTTCCTTCCTCATATGAAACTCCTTGCTTTTGAGCAATTGCTTCAGCTTGCTTGACGAACACTGTAATAAATTGGTGAAATTAACAACTGCTTTTTAAACTATAGTAGCGAGACTACAGTAACCTGTATTACATTGTATTAAAAACAACAACTACAGAGCAATTTATTTAGCAATAAATGTGTAAATTGGAATAGCATTAAATCAGGGTCAGTTAGCTTTTAAAGCCAACTCCAGATACCAGCTATAATATCTTGAGTTTGTATGAGCCAATCGTTTTTTTTTTAAAAAGATTGTTCACACAGTTGAAGACATTTGTTTGTTGCCTATGAGATTTTTCAAAATTATACTTTTTAATTGCCCCCCCCCCCCCCCCCGATTTTAGTTATTGGTCCCCAAGAGTGTGTAACATGGAACAGCTTACATGGAGTCTCCACATAGCCAGGGCACACAGCTGTACAGGTGACCCCACTTCCTGCTGATTCTATTGCCACTGCCTGAAAGTGACAGCTTGATACATTAACAACTTAAAAACACTTAAACAATAAACAAGTCAAAATATCTACCAATGGTAACCATCAGAAATCCAAGCTTATGTCTAAATTAACATTACATAAGGATTACCTTAGTGAGACCAATAATTCCATGTTTAATAGAAACATAAGCAGTCTTGTTAGGGGAGGCAACATGGCCATGAGCTGATGCAATGTTTACAATTCTGCCCCAGCCTAGAGAAGTAGACAATTATCATGACACCAAGCAACACAATGTCACAATTAATTTGAAGCGTCTAATACCGATTACATGCACATCATATAAATATGTATACACAGGGCTTTTATAAAAAGACCTGTAGATAACTGATTAGTCATGGGTATTTTTGTAATTAATCAACTAACAGTTTAAATAAAATTTGACTATCTTTAAGATAGGTGATACATAATGCATTCGTTTTACAGGCATGACTAAATCTGTTTACTTTGTTAACTTCAGTGAAATAAAACCACCTGCAACTTTCTTTTTTTAAATAGTAATAAAATTACGTTTTAAGATCAACAAGATATTTAGATAAAAAAAGGAATGCATCTGATTTATCCACTAATTATATCCTCGTTCTAGATATCCTGATAAATAATGAACCACCCACCCACTGCAAGACATGGAAATATAGATTTTAGCATTGAATTCAGATTATACAATAAAATATTTTTTTTTACACTAGTATTTTCCTTGTATTAAACAGTTCAAACTGTCCCTCCTAACCAAGTATTAAAGTATAAAAACAAACAATAAAAAACCTTTTTGTTTCATGTTGCCCAGACAGAGTTGTGTGAGATGGAATGGCGCTATCAACATGACCCCAATCATCTTGCTGTAGACATCCAGGGGGAAGCTTTCAATTGGAGACACGTGCTGAAAACCTAGGTGAGAAAATCAGGACTTGACACACATATTTTTACATTTGATATAACATGGCTTTGTGGTAGTAATTTTAAAATAAAGTGACAGCAAATTTACATACAACTTTTATACATTTGATTATAATTTAATATAGCTATAACAGTGGATATAAAATGTAGCTGTGTAAAGAGGGAACCCTAAATGCATGTAAATACAAAGCTAAAGATTGACTTGGAGTACAGTAATTAAATAAATAGACTATCTTTTGTTACCAGCATTATTGACAAGTATATCAATTCCACCAGGAAATTTGGAGATTGCTTGCTGGTGTAAAGCTTTTACATCCTCCTGTTTGGATAAATCTCCTCCAATGAAGGTGGTGTCAACTTTGTACTCCCTGGATTACAGGTAAAAAGATTTTTATTAACATATTTTACAATATTTAATAATAGCTAGTAGTCAGTTTATAATTTAAACCAATGTTTTTTTAGAAAATATATATTAAGTGCTTTTTTTCAATAGGGATTTAAATAAATATTAAGACAAATATTTCTAGATACTTTAGATAAATGGTGGTACACATAAAAAGTTGAACAGTTAAAGGGTTGCCTTATAGTTATATTTTATCCATAATTTTCTTATTTTGACGACTAAATTAAGATATTACACTTGTCCTTGGTTCTTAAACTTGACAATCATAATCAAATTCAGATTTTCTTTTCTTTTTTAAGTTTTGTTTTCTGATCTAGTGATTTACATTCAGTTAGTTGTTAATTTAGCTTAGTTGTTTGGCAGTCTGAATTTAGTCATACAACACACCAACCACCACCTTACTCACTAAATAAAACAACACACCCAAAACTTGCCTCACTACATCAAAGCGGCCGGGAATTCTTAGTTCTATAATATATGAACTACCCCTAAACCCATAAATGTGCTGGGCTATTGAAGATTATCATTCATTGAAAGTTTTGATAATTGAGGGAATAATTTTTTTAAATGTGATGACTATAAGTGGATTTTAAAAATTACCACACTAATAATGGTAAAAAAAAAGGTACAATTTACACAATCATGGTTCTATTATGTTTAAAAAATTATGTGAAAAGTATTATTCTTTAAGAAAGAATATATATGAAAAAAGTGCATTTTAATGCTATTTGTTAAAAGTATTATTCTTTAAGAAAGAATATATATATATGAAAAAAGTCCATTTTAATGCTATTTGTTAAAAAAATATACTATGGGGGTAGTCATCCCTGTCGTTAGGTTATGCGAAGTATAACCAACTAGTTTTTAATTTAGAAAATCTGAACTGTTTAAAAATTATATTATTCTTTTTTAGGAACTTAAAACAACTAAATCAGTAATAGAAAAATGGCAATAGCAGCCTCAACACATAAAAATAAAATCACTTACTTTTGCACAGAGGAAACCAATTTGTTGATCTCAGCTTCATCACCAAACCCATTGAAAATAATGTTTGCTCCTTTGGCAGCAAGGCTACGTGCTACACCCTCTCCTATTCCACTTGTAGATCCTGTGATCAGGGCAGTTTTGCCCGCAAGGAAACCTAGCAAAATAAGAGCAAAATTTTATAATCTATTTTTACCTTATAAAAGATTTAATGTTTAAAATATATAGGTATAAGCACTTATCACTTAAAATTAAAGTTCACATACTAAAAACGCGTCTTTGAAAAACCATCTTAGTTGCAAGAAATTTAAAAAGAGAGGTGTAGGCTATATTATTAACTCTTATATGGTACAAAGTCTTTCTTAAACAGTTCAGGGTAGATCAAAGTCTAATAACTTTTTATTCAAAGTCTGACCAGGGTTCAAAGTCTTCCTAAGGCATATCACCACTACTATAATAAGATTAGTTCATGTATCTTGATTTTTTTTAACTTATCACAACTTGAAATCCAGTACAAATAATTTTGTTCAAACATGAGCTGTGAAGTGTTCTCAAAATGCTACTTTGTGCAACAAAAAAATAAAAAATAAAGATTACATTCAAGAATTTTTAAAAATTTAAATAAAAACAAAAAATAAACTGCATAATCAGAAAAATGCATAAAAACAACAGCCAGATTATAGTTAGTAATGGCAAATACTTTTACTTACCTTCTTTTGGGCTGATTTGTGTACATTTAAAGTCATTAAATATTTTTATTAAGGTATTTATTAGCATTTATATGCATCATAGTAAATTTTTCAAATACCACAGAGCAATATAAAAGGTGAATGTAAAACCCACATCATCATTCATTTTCACAATACAATGCTATTTTACTTCTAGCAATGTAATGAGTGCTGCTGCATAGCTGAATTTTGTTACTTAGTATAATATATGCGTGAGGTTAGTAATTTTAATAATGTTAATGTTGTAATCATCTTGCTCGAGTATAATTTGAAAACAGGCATCTAAAATATTTAAGAAAGCAGCGATCTTGGCTTAATATCAGGACCAGGGTTCAATAACAACAAGGAAACTTTGGTTCCCATACCTTACCCTTGTAGGTATGAAAAAATTAGGTCAAGGTGACCCATTTCTAGTTGCATTGATAATGGGCATATAATGTTAGTGCAGGTGGTGGCATTCTGTTCCATCATGCATTAAATTATTATAATGTTATTTTAAAGGATAGGACTGGGGAGGCGTTGCTTAAATCTAAAAAATAAATCAGGTTTATATATCTTAAATCTTAATACATTAACCTAAAACAAGCTTTTAGCATGAGCAAATTTGTTTTAGTTATAATACAACTAATAAAAATCTTTTGCAGATTGAGAATATATTAGGCCTACTGCTCTTATTAATTAATAAGAAAAACAAATCACATGACACCATCTACATCAGCATCTAAATCAAAGCATGTCAATATAAATGATACAGCACTAGCAGTTAACACAAATACTCTGACCTACACACTAAACCATAAATTAATGATAAAAACTAAAAAACTAAAAACCCAAAAACATTTCAGCATTTTCAGGCTGTATGTTATTGATTCAAGAGCAATATTTATAGTACATCCAACATCCATTGACAACAAAGTTTCATTAATGAAGCTAAGGTCATTCAAATTCAACGAAAGTGAAAGAGTGCTACAATTAGTTGTACTACAATAAATACCATAGTATTTTTTTAAAGTAAATTTTTCTCACATACATTTTTATTCTTTATACTAAAGCCATCCCAAAAATAAATAATCTAGCATACTAAAGTTAGAAAAATTAATAAAACAAGCAAATTATAGGGGAAGGATAGATTTCAGGTATGAGAAGAGGATTAACATGGAGATTTTGGAAAATATAAAAAAAAACCTTCCTTAATACTAGTACCAGTAAGTGATTAAGTATACAAATTATTTTTAAAGATTTAATTTCTTTTAAAATTGATATACTTTATTGAAACAGCTAAATTGTGAGATATTATCTTTTAATAAGCCAGCTTTATTAATAATATGCTAGTCATGATAATTGTATTAATTCAGTTAAAATGCACACTACTTAGTTCACTGTTATCAAAGCCAGATGTCAGTGTTGTTTTGATACATCTTTAAACAACATTAAATGCACTTGTTACACAAGCCAGGTTACATGGTGGGCTACAGGTACTACAAATATTTTTTTAATACACTTACTTCTGATGGCAACGTTCATTTCTACAAACTAGATTGTACCTATAACAAATTTCAAACATGACAAATAAAAGTTAATAAGTACACTTACATTTTAAAATAGCAATACATGTCATTATTTAAAATTAGCTTGATTTTTCAATGCCAAATATTCATTGGTGAAGCCATTTCAACAGTTTTTGCCATGTGGCAGTAATGTCCAGTCACCTTTCGTTTTCTGTCATCTGGTGCTAGGGCCTTGTCGTGGCTTGGCAGCTTGCGTACCCTGACGACCCCCAGAGCTATACCAGCGGGAGTGTTAACTCCTGGCAGGTTCAACCAAGCTGGGAAGGTCTGCGCGGGTAGGGGTCAGACCAAAGCTAGCACCCTGGTCCTCCAGGTTGGGGGTTGAGCATAAGGTCAGCAACCTTATCTCGTAAAACAAATTACCCGCTACAGAAACGCAGACAGAGAGAAACAAAGACAGCTCGGACCAGGGGAAAAATGGATCTCCCGATGGAGAATTTATGAAGCCGGGTGGTGAAAGCCAATATGTATTGGAAACCACCAGGTCGACCACCATTATTTCCACTAGGACCACCATCAATATTGGAGCTTGGAATGTCCGCACGATGTTCGAAGCTGGAAAAGCAACCCAAGTAGCAGCAGAAATGAGACGCTATAAAATAGCTATCCTGGGTGTCAGCGAATCAAGGTGGACTGGCTCAGGACAAAAAAGGCTGATATCAGGAGAGCTACTGCTGTACTCAGGTCATGAGGATGAAAATGCACCACATACTCAAGGAGTTGCACTCATGCTATCAAATCAAGCACAAAGGGCTCTCATCGGATGGGAGGCACACTGCCCGCGGATCATAACAGCTACCTTTAAAACTAAAATAAGACGAATAAACATGGACATAATACAGGCCTACGCCCCAACAAATGACAGCAAAGAAGAGGACAAAGACGAATTCTACAACAGGCTAATGACCATTATCCAGAACCGCCCAAGAAGAAACATCCTTATACTCATGGGCGACTTCAATGCTAAGATTGGAAGCGACAACAGAGGATATGAAGAATGTATGGGACAGCAGGGTTTAGGTGAGATGAACGAAAACGGAGAAAGATTTGCTGACTTGTGTGCCACAAATAATTTAGTCATTGGCGGTAGTCTCTTTCATCATAAAAGGATACATAAAGCTACTTGGGTATCACCCGACCTATCTACAGAAAACCAGATAGACCATATATGTATCATAAAAAAGTTCAGGAGATCACTTCAGGATGTACGCGTCAAGAGAGGAGCTGATGTTGCTTCAGACCATCACCTACTGGTAGCTAAAGTAAAACTCAAGCTGAAGAAAAACATGTTGGAAAACAAAAGGAAATACAGGTACAACACAGGCCTGCTAAAGGACCCATCTAAACTCAACGAATTTAAACTTCATATGTCCAATAGGTTCCAGGTACTACAAGAACTAATAGAAGAAGAGACGATAGAGGAAACATGGGAAAAAACTAAAAGTATATTAACATCAACATGCGAAGAAGTGCTAGGCCCTATCAAAAGACAAGCGAAGGAATGGATATCAGCAGATACCATGAAAATTATTGAAGAGAGAAAAAGAAAGAAGGCAACATTAAACAACAGCCGCACACGGGCTACGAAATTAAAAGCACTGGAAGAATACACCGAAACGAACAAAAATGTAAAGAAACACATAAGGAAAGACAAACGGAGCTATTTGGAACTGCTGGCAAGAGAAGCGGAAGAAGCACTGTACCATGGTAATATTAGGGACGTGTACAATACAATTAAGAAGATATCTGGTAAGTACAGTAAGCCAGAGAGGCCAGTGAAAACCAAAGATGGAAAGACAATACCTGATGCGGAAGGACAGATGAAGAGATGGGTAGAACATTTTGAAGAACTACTGAATAGACCAACACCAGAGTGCACGCAAGACATACCACCAGCTGAAAGTGACCTCCCTATAGACTGCAACCCACCTTCAAAAGAAGAGATACATAGAGCTATAAAGCAGCTGAAAAATTGGAAGGCTCCAGGAATAGATGGTATACCGGCAGAAGCACTGACAGCAGATATAGAAACTAGCACCACACTACTATACACACTCTTCAAGAAAATCTGGGAAGATGAACAAATACCAGAGGAGTGGAAGGAGGGACTACTCATAAAGCTTCCAAAGAAAGGCGATCTTAGTGCATGCTCTAACTATAGAGGGATAACACTTTTGTCCATCCCAGGCAAAGTCTTCAACAGAATATTATTAAACAGAATGAAGGAAGCCATAGATCCCCAGCTTCGAGATCAACAGGCGGGCTTTAGGAAGGAAAGGTCATGCATAGACCAAATTGCTACCCTGCGCATCATCATTGAACAGACCCAAGAGTGGAACTCATCTCTCTATATTAATTTCATAGACTATGAGAAGGCCTTTGATAGCCTGGATAGGCAGTCAATGTGGAAATTGTTGAGACACTACGGGGTGCCACAGAAAATAGTCAACATTATTATGTCTTCATATGAAGGTCTCAAATGTAGAGTAGTGCATGGCCAACAGACTACAGAGGCCTTCCCAGTACGGACCGGAGTAAGGCAGGGTTGCCTACTTTCACCATTCCTGTTCCTACTGGCCATAGACTGGGTTATGAAGATGTCAACAGAGAAAACGCGAAACGGTATACAGTGGACATTGTGGAGCCAGCTGGATGACCTGGACTTTGCTGACGACCTGGCCCTCCTTTCTCACACACAACAGCAAATGCAGGATAAAACCAACAGGGTTGCAAATTTTTCTACAAGCCTGGGTCTGAACATCCACAGAGGGAAAAGTAAAGTTCTCAAAGTCAATGCATCAAACAACAACCCTATAACACTGGCAGAAGAAGCCCTAGAAGAAGTGGATAGATTCACCTACCTTGGAAGTATTGTTGATAAGCAGGGTGGGACAGAAGCAGACATAAAAATAAGGACGGGTAAGGCAAGAGCAGTCTTCAACCAACTAAAAAATGTTTGGGGTTCGGGAGATTTAACCCTTAGAATAAAAATCCGGATCTTCAACACACTAGTAAAACCTGTTTTACTCTATGGAGCTGAGACATGGAGAATAACTGCTATAAATAAGAAGAAAATACAATCATTTATAAACGCATGTCTCAGAAAGATCCTGCGAATTCGCTGGCCTAAAACCATCAGAAATGATGTTCTATGGCAACGGACAAATCAACTGCCAGTGGAAGTAGAGATCCTCCAGAGAAAATGGAAATGGATTGGCCACACACTCAGGAAGCCTGTATCCAGCATAACAAGACAGGCCCTCACCTGGAATCCACAAGGCAGGAGGAAGAGAGGCAGACCAAGAAAGACCTGGAGACGTGACCTGGAAGAAGACACCAAGAAGATTGGATACACCTGGGGACAGTTGGAGAGACTAGCCCTGGACAGAGACGTCTGGAAAGCTCTTGTCAGCGGCCTATGTCCCAGTAGGGACGACAGGCAAACATGACATGATGATGACCTTTCGTTTTCCGTGTACTATTTATCTTTATAGACTCTAAACTATGGGTTGAGCACTTTGCGCAGCAACTATGGCATATATGATATAGGGCTTTATCTCATTCACAGACCAAAATCAAATAACATAATCTAAACCTATGGTATTGAACTGAAGTTGAAAGGTTCAGAAATTTGAGACCCATTGAGAATTTACCCTTTTGAACCTTATGGTCCATGGGGCAGGTGAAATAGAGTCCATCTGTTTCTGTGATTCTGAAATGGAGTAATAGTGTGTTCAACACTTGGCCCAGTTGCCTTTACTTTCCCTCACAGTTAGGTACCTATCAGAGCCCGGGATATGAAAATGAGACTTTCTTATTTGCATTCAACTGTATACCATTTGACAATGTTGTCCTTTTGAGATTGCTTGGTTACATAAAGGGTTTAAGTTTTAGAGTGAAGACTGACTTATTTATATTAATTTAATTAAATCACTTAATTAGAACTTAGATCCCCCTTAAGCCTTAAAGGTTATTTATTATATTTATATTATTTAATTAGAAAGTTATGCCTATAATATATAATATAATCTTGTCAAACTCATTATAGCAAAGTTTAGTAAAGCTTTAGTTGTATAGTATAGTCTATAGAGTATAGTGTTGAGAGGCATAAATTATACTTTATAGGGTAACATAAAAAACATCAATATTATTTATTATTATTATATTAAATATAGGCCTACTATTAAATATAAATATAGCCGAGGCCTAAATAAAATAATAAATTAATAATTAGGCCTAACATTAAAAATAGGCCTAGCTATTTACTATATTTAATAATATTTATTATTAAACCAGTTTTTACTAGATCTAGATTATTCTAGATGATAGGGCCTAATGAATTAATAATAGATATAAAAAAAAATTATTAAGTATAATTTTAATTATTAATTATAGTATAGCCTAGGCCTAATAAATTGCTAATATAATAATATATTAATTAAAAGCCATAAACTCAGTCAATGTCAATGAAATTGAAACTCTACACCAGAGGCGTATCCAGGTTTCCATTGTAGGGGGAGCGAATAGAGCAAAAAAGGCGCCGAATTTTTTTTACACGTTATATATACGTGTATTTTATATATTTATATATATATATATATATATATATATATATATATATATATATATATATATATATATATATATATATATATATATATATATATATATATATATATATATATAAAATTACTAGATGTATGTCATTACTTCGCTATGATGTAAAATAAATTGAAATTAGCACTCTGAAGAAATAAGAAAAAGCACCCAATGTAGGCCGACAAAACAAAAATTGTATCAATCTAAACAAAAAAATATATATATACACACACTACAACCAAAAACAATGAACGTAACACAATCTGTTTTGTAATTCTTGTAACAAAATTTCTTACATAGTAATTCCTGGGAAATTATTTAAGACAAATGAAATAGGGGAAATAATCACTCTCTTAATATAAATATGTATATATCTACGCATTTAATTATAAATGTCAAAACAGATAAATAATTACTTTAGAATATAATGACATTGTTTAACACTATTAACACTATTCGTGTTTACAAAATGTTTTGTCTATAATCAGAATTTAATATATCGTCATCATAAATGCTAAAGTATTACAGCATAATGAAAGTTTTTAAAATCAGAGTTGGTATAAAACCACGCTTTTCGATAAAATAGTAAAACATTTGGAATAACAGCCTACATTTAACTAAATATCGGTGTTTTAGTTCAGATCATATATTTTTAAATAACTTCTGCTTCTTTGTGTTCTTTAAAGATCATTTTTAACATAGTGATAGCTATGGGTTAGATCACTGTATTGATCACACACCTTTTTACTGTTAATTGCAAAAACAATATTCACAGAGTTTTACGGTAAAAAGCTAATTTTCTGGCGGCATGGTACTTTGGTACATCATTACGCGTTTTTCTACATGTACTTAACAGATCAATTCGGGGTGGGTTGGGGGGGGGGGGGGGGTTCAACTTCATTCACCACTGTCGGTTCACTTTAGGTCAATTATCCAACCCAGTGTATACCTAGGTGTGACAATAATGTCGCTCTACACAATTGTGGTGGTGAGGTGTGTAGGGGGGGGGGGGGGGGGGGGGGGGATAACCAACTCAGAGTGAATATATCGTCAGTTTTTATATGACTGTTCTAAACATACATATATATTACACAAATATATATTACACAAATATATGTTACAGAAATAGATTTAAATAAGTAGCAGTGGTATTATGACAATATTTTTTTTTACAGAGGGGTCCATGGGGGACGTGGGTTGTAACTGTTTCATATAATTTGTTATCGTAATCACTATTGCCCAAACTGTAAGAATACTACTACTTCATCGTGATGACGTTTTTGACCTTGTGAAAATTTCCCCACCATAAGTAAATTTAAATAGAGGTGCCACGTCAGTTGTATTTGTGTCTGTATTGTAATTTTTTTTTTAAATTAACACGATTCAAACTGTATATATAAAGTAATTATGTGTGAAGTTTTATGTATAACATTTTCTAATTCAATTATTCGTAAGCAAATACATTATACAGTTGCCTTAAACTTAACACCCCTCTTGCCAAGTGGTACTACCGTAGAGGTTTTTTAAACATTGCAATGCATCGTAATGGTTATTTTTAGAATGGCAAACTGATGCAGCTATTAATACCTATTGTAAACGTAGACACTACTAGACTAGTACACTAATGCTTAATTGCTGCATGAAAAGAAATCGTGTGATTTACATAGATCTAGATGTGCCGACCAAATATATTTTTTTAACTTCCAAAAAGGCACCACTTTGCTGAAAATGGCCAGAGGGGGAGCGGCCGCTCCCCCTGCTCCCCCCCCCCCCCCCCCCCCCCCGCGTACGCTACTGCTCTACACACTACACAGCACTAGGGGACTAGATTCTAGTCTAGATCTAACTAATCTAGAATCTAGCGCCCGCATATTAAAGTGATATTTCATTAGACGTTAGAGAGTACTTTGTAACTTTATTATTATTATTATCACTCCTAGAGTCTATGATGGACCTTATCTCATAAGTGACAAGTCGTAATAAATCATCTTTTTATTTATTATTAAATTATTAAAGTAAAAGTCTAGATCAGTAGATCTAGTTCAAACGTGTCGATGTTTTTTAAGTGACGATTTTGCGAGTAGTTTTTTATGGCGCATTTAAAATTCATAGTTTTAGATTCACTATCTTAAAATAGTTCAAAGTTTTATCTTACGTTCAGAACTCCCAGACATGTGAAAAACTTCAGATAAGATAAAGCACGGTCCTAGTTCAACCACAGTGTAGGTCAAATGAGGTCAAAATCCTGCGGGTGTCTTTGAAATGGGTTGAATGGATAATGAAACGAAAGTAGCACACTGATGATGCAACCAGCAAAATCCAACAACTTCCGCTTGTAATGCGCGGTGCAGTGCGCCGTTTGCTAGTTCAAAACTGCACACTGTGGGTAACGACGCCATATTTGATTTCTCTAAATAAATTTCTATTTCATGGATAAGGACGATATAACTGAAAACAATGATCATAATTTCAAAATACAGTTTACGAGTTTTGTGCGTGAATATTGTGCAGGGTCTCACAACAGCTACACTTTAAATGCAAAGAAAAGAGAAAGGGTTTTAAAATGTTTAAGAAATTCCAGGGAAGAGCCGAGCGCAAGATTCCGTTTCTGGGTACGAGCTAAAGGTTTCCGAATCGTCCAATCTGCAGATGGAGAAGATATTTTGGCACTCCCACCAAAAGGAAACGATCCGAATGATGTAGGCCCAACTCTTAATTAGATCTAGATCTAAAATAAATCTACATATTGTTTTGACACCCCCCCCCCCTCCACACACACACACACACACACAATTGCGCTTGGTTTTTAAAATACATTTATCATTTAGTCTTAGTGTTTGTTGGTAGTTATATTCCAGTGAGTAGACAATTACACAACCAAGACTCACTACACTTAAACTACACTTTACTACTCTTACACCACAGTAATACTAATTAGTAATTACACTTTACATTATAAAAGCGGCATGAACACACCACATGAAATAGATTTTCTACACTGGCAGTGCCAGTAGACCTATCATTATCATAGTCTAGTTACAGATTTTTACCAAACTTTGGTAATAGACCTAACTATACTAAGGGGCCTAATATTTTAATATAACAATTTCATCCTACTTCTACTATTTAGTCTGTATATAGATCTAGTATATCTATAGGCCTACTTAGTTAGACTTAGTCTATTAGATCTATTCTATACTCTATACTATAACTATATATACTCAATAGGCCTACTTCAAGTTTAACTTTAATTGCCTTTGTGATGTTGACAAAAATTGAGTTTCAAACTAAAAGTAGAGGTTGTAAGCTGCTTTAGGCTCATTAATGAATAGTACTTTAATTATTTTTTTTTGAGTTTAAAAAATGATTAATTTTATTTATCTTAACTGGTTTGGCTCATTAAATTCAAAAGTAAATAAGATAGATAGTTGCTTTGACCATCAGCTAAAGCTATTCACCAGAAAGACATTAGTATTTAGACTAATGATGATTGCCTCCATTAACAGTAATTAAATTTACTCGGCTATTTAACTGTGTAAAAAAATACATAATGTATGATCTAACAAAACATGTAGTTAATTCAGTGGAAGTAGCCTGTTGTGGCATTAACTATGATTAATTATGTGTGAAATTCATCACACAACTTAACATGTTTTGCAAATGTGTTAAGGACGCTGTTATTCTCACACTAACCCCTATGAATTGGAATAATGAATAATTTGGCAAATTTGAATGAACTTTTTTAAAAATGGATAAAAAAATTGTTTTAGACACATACCCTACTAGGTCACCCTCAGAGATTTTAAAAGAATAGTACTTTTACAGTATCCATCCATATAACAAAATAACCACCTTTTCCAATTTTTTTCTGTTATTTTACAGACATTATTTAAAAGAGTTGCAAGCATTGATGAATTCTTTGATATTATTTATGCTGCACACTCAGAAAATGGACATGTTGGGCAATCTCAGACCTTTCGTGCAGTAAGTTTTTAGATAGTTATATTTTTCAGTATTAATCATTATTGTTAAAGATAAATCTATGGTACATAGTTTTAACATCTATATTATATTTTTTAAAAACTTTTTATTCAGTACAATTTATAATTTTTTTTTAAAGATACATTTGATACATGCATTTATATTATTTATTTTATAGGCCTATTTAACTTATATTTTATAATATAACCTTGAAACAAACTAGCAGTGATTATGTCATTGTTTTTTGTAATATTCTGGTTCAACTTTTCATCCTGGTAGAATTCTTTTTTTAAAAAAAATAAAAATTGTTTAATTATATTTTCAGATCAAAGCAATGTATGCTTTGGTGCCTCGTATTTTGGTCATTAAATTTATTGAAATGTGCCCACAATGTTCCAATACTCATTCATATGCATCAAGGAAGCGAGGTTCATCCATGCAGGATAACTTGATCAGTCCAGATAAATTAGCCGGTGTAAGCGAGAGATTTAAAGCTACTATAATTTAGTTGTTATTGTCAAACCTGTGGCTTATATACATGCATTTTTAAATTTCAAATAAGCAAGCCGTGTCGATCTAGTAGATTCTTTATCATTTTCAGTACATTCATCTGTTTTTGTGGCTCAGCCTATGGAAGGATAGTGTGGTCAGCACTATGCTTAGCTGCCTTTACTTTCCCTAATGTGAGTTTGTTACTCATCAGAGCTGGGTGGACTCAGACATTCTACTGATACAAACCCAGGATTCAAACTTGACTTTTGGGTTAGCAGTCGTATGCTCTACCATCAGAACACGCCGTCCCATATTTTCAATGCATTACCATGTATTAAAAATACCCACTTAACTGGTGCTGCATTAAATGATTTTCTAAAATGTTTAACATAACTTTAATTTTTCATTTTTAAATCTTTGACAGCAGACACACAATCCATTTTCTGTGGTGAAAAGGGACCCTGATGAATTAGAGGCTGAAGAGTTTGATGAAACCGAAGCTAATATACACCTGTGTGCCACAGTAAATAACTTTAAAAAAATCATTTTAACTGTTTTATCTCCTAACTTTAAATATTCAATCTTCAAAATCTTCTGTTTAGAAACTTATTTTTATGTCAAGTTTAAATTTTTATTTATTTCTTGTTCATGGTTTGGATGGAGGTGACATCTTATGTTTTATTCATAACTTTCCAGGAGGTTTCATCAAATCAACAGGAAGTGGCTAATGCCTTGAATGATCTTCTGGCTGGCAAAATATCTGGGGGTGAAATAGAAACTGTGGTTCACATTCAGCCTGAGGAGTCTCGCACCAACCCTGATGTTTTGTTCTCCTGCCATCTGTGTAAAGAGGTCTTCAAAAAAAAGAAAGCTCTGCAAAAACACATTAAAAATCATCAAGATTTTAGGCCTTCAGTGGTATGTCATTGTTATTTATTGCTTAAACTCACCTTAAATATAACAGAACTAAATTAGACTAAATTATTGTTATAAGTTTTTGTGGTTGTACATTTGGTTTATAAAATAATTGATATATGACTCAACTATATTAGATAAATATCATGCAAACTCACTATTAGAGTGTCACATTCTAGAGTGTCTGAAATGACAACATTCTTCTTATTTTGAATTTTGGTGGAATTAAGGGCTCACAGGAAAAACAACCAATGTGCCTCTATCGCTTTTTAAATATAAAAGTGAAGGGTGTTTATTTCATCTTCAGCCACTTCAGAAAGCTTCCCCCGCTTTGAAGAAAAGGAAATTTAATGTTGGTTTCAGTTCAACTTACCCAATGAAGGCCAGGCGGATAGGTGTTGCACGCAGACGAGTAATCATTGATGTAGATTCCAGCCCTACTGCTGCACAGGTAAACAGCTGAATTTGTCAGAGATATTTATTTTCAAAAGTTTATGCTTGATAGTTGATTTCTATCTTTGCCTAATTAAATAATAACAAATAATTTATGGGTATAATGATTATAAAATGTAAGATAATTTTTTGTTTTCTTCATGAAAAAAACTTGAGCTGTGTTAAAATTGTTAAATTACAAAAAGATTTTTATGTATATTTGTATTATTAGTTTCTTTGACATGTATTAAAATAATTAGTCTTCTTAAAATTGTATATTTTTGTTGTCCTACCATAATAGGCCATTGTACTAGCAGCCCTAAGACCAGACATAGAATTAATGGCCATCAACTGTGTTGCTGGAAGAGTGTCTGTTCTCAATGCTTGTGAAAATGCACTTAGAGTGTTACGCGCTTGTGGCAGAGAAGATGCAAGTTTCCCTTCATTTGTCATAGTTTAATTTGTTTAGTGGTAAATTTGGTATTGTTTGAAAAGAAAAATATAATCAAACAATTTTTAGTAAATAATAATACTCTAAATTGTGTATAGATATTATAGTTAATAGTAATTTAAAAATAAAAGTTTATAAACTTTAAATATTTGTATTGCCAACTGTTGCCTTACATATGTTATTCTATACATGAGCAGGTCCATGTTTGCAGAGGAGCCGAGAAATCTATACTGGGTCTGACTGGTAAAGAGGAGAATTTGCCAGGAGGGGCCTGGTCAAGGAAGGTTGAAGGACACATCCAAGCTGAGCACTCTGTCTCATCACTCATTCGTTGTGTTAATGAAAATCCTGGTAAAATATTTCACTTCTTTTTCATTTTAATCTCATATACTGGAATGCCATATTTTTCTTCATTGCTATTAATCCTGGTAAAATTATATCTGTATTTTAAACTTGAAAACTTGTTTTTGAAAGTGTGTATTGATTTAATCAGGGCAAATAAGAAAAATACTCTTGAAATCTATAAAATGAACTTTTTAAATTAAATACTGTTTAATTCCATGTTGCAGGAGAGATTACTCTTATTTGTCTCGGCCCCCTAACCAATCTAGCCTTAGCATTGAGACTTGATCCAATGGTGGCTGTTCACTTAAAGGAGCTATACATTATTGGAGGGAATATTGAAGGTGATTAGAACTTGTGATTATTCTTCTTAGTAGAATGTTTCTTTAATAGTTTTCTAAAACTATAGTGTTGATAAAATGTATCATTATTTATTACATGAGTCAATCAAAAACAGTGATGACATTTGAATTTACAAGAATAGCCTTTTTTGATTATTAAAAAGCCCACATAATTAAAAGATATTAGTTGCAAATACAAAACAAACCATTAGTATTAATTAATAAACAGGGTTATTGCAATGTAGATCATTTATTTTTGAAATGATTTTCCTTGGCTTTTATATACCATATATTTGAGCTATCCTCCATATCATATTGTTGTACTCTAGTCATTATATAATTAGTTTACAAACACAGTCAGTACCAGTGATTCTATATTTAGGTCAAGGTGATCTGTCACTCTGTGCTGAACAAAACTTCATGTTTGACCCAGAGGCTGCACATATTGTGTTACAAGAGATAAAAAATGCATACATCCTGCCTTACGAGATAAGCCATAGACACTGTATTCCATTTGTAAGTATAAATATTGCAAAAACCTTTTCACTCAAATTTTTTTGTATTTTATTCATTTAGTTAGTTTTGTCCTATTATTTCCAATTTAAAAAAACAATTTTTCTTTAATTCATCAGAGGCATTGCATATCTTGGTTAAATACTGGCACGGACATTGCAAGTTTTCTCATTGAGTGTTTCACACCAGAAGAGCTCACACAGCAGGCGAAGTCAGGGATGATCACCCCTGAAGTTTTTGCCGTTGCCATGGTGATAGACTCCACCATCATTCTGGAGAAAGAAAAAGTCTACTGCACGGTTGAACTGAAAGGAGAGCACACCAAGGGCCTTATGATTGTGGATAGGAGAGGCTATCTCCACAAACCACCCAACCTGTTTGTTGTGAAGAATATGGATTTGGGGAAAACCCAAGCCTTGTTTGGTGCTATTTTTACCACTCCTGAGATGTCAGAGCCTCTGTCACCTGTATCTCTGGCAGGTCCTGTTAGAGACCATGTCCCTGTTCTGTATAAGGAAACAAGAATGAATATTGTGTAAGCTAGGTCTTTTTACATGGTAGAAAAGAGAATGCCCAAGTTAATTGTGCTTGAATTTAAAAAAAAATAATATGATTAAAAAATTAATAGGGAAAAAGTACCCTTCATATCTGACTGTCTTTTGGGCATTTGAGTGTAAGTTTATATTTGATCACTAATGATCATGAAAGGGAATTTTTTTAACTGCAAACTTTCAAGTTTTTTTTGTTACCACAATTATAATTTGTCGTATTTTTAATGCAGTAGTCAACTAAGGACTACAACCCTTGATTTATTAGAATATTTATTTCCACCATGAGTTGTTGTTCTTGTTTTTTTTAAAAATCTCAGCGTGAATACATACCTTTTTTTGCAGTGTATATAAACGTTTGATAAAAAGTGGTTGAAATTATTTTTAAATAGCCAATTCAGATCATTAACATTTAAAGTAAAAAAAAACTAAGACGTTATTTTAAAAGATTACTTCTTTATGTTAAACAATTTGTTTTATTATTGTACAGTCTCCAACTTAACATGCTTATTAGTAAAATAAGTTGTACAGCTTGATCATGTATTGCAGCAAGAAAATGGCCATGTACATGTTAAATTTTAAAATGTTGACTTATTTTAACTCATGTAAAAGCATTTATTTAAAAAAAATATTATTGCCAACTTTGTATCTTGTGAATATGCTCAGTTTTAATGAGCTTGCATTGATCTTGTATGTCTGTGATAACCTTTGCAATTACTGCTTGTGTCAAAGAAAAACATGTTCAGCAGTTAGGGAATTTTTTTATATAATGTAGTTACTTTGATATTTTCATAGGTAATTGTATATCCTTTATGCACAGTTTTTTCCTGTTCAAACTATTTTGTTGTAACAAAGATGAAAACTTGTATCAGTTTCTTAAAAAAAACATTGCAAAGCCAGTATCAACAACAAAACAATTTTGAAATTGAATTGACTATTTTAAAATGAGGACACCTGTACATAATGTTCATAAAAATGGTTCGTGCTGTTGCTTATAATTGAAAATAAAAAATTTAAACATTCACAGATGCTTTTTTTTTTGTTTCTAAAATATAATTCAGTAGTTTTGGGACTAACGGTTGCTGCCTTAGATAAACTTGATTGTACTGCCTGGCACATATATAACACACCAGATATATGTTACAATACAGTACATCAGAAACTGTTTCACTACTACAATCAAACTAGTTCATGCAGAAATATTTATCCCCATACTGAACAATAGAATGTATTGGGATAAATTTGATAAACACCTGATTTGCCACAGATGATTATTTTTGATGGGAAAAATTGATATGTAAGACATTAATTAAGTTGTAGCAGTGACTTTACATTGATTCATCTCGTAGCGGGGAGAGGGGGTCTGTAATTTTGTGACGGTGTGTGATGAGGGGGGGGGGGGGGTTCAGATGGTGCGAAGTCACACTTTTGCATTATAAAAAAACCAATGCTAGAAAACGAATATTTTAGACGTTATTTCGCGATTTAGAATACTGTTTTAATAAATGGTAATAGGAATTGATTAAAATACTCTATTTTGACAGAGTTCAGACAAGATTTTAGAGAAATATCGATGTTTTAAAAATAATTCAACTGCAACTTTGAGGGGGGGGGGGGGTTGTAGGTTGAGGTGTGACGTCATTTTAGGGGGGGGGGTCTGGTTTTTGTGACGACGTGTGACAGAGGGGAGAGGTAAAAATCGTCCAAAAAAGCGTGACGTCATTTATGGATGACCCCTTTCTTGAGACATGTGATTTACCATCAACATGATCCGTGACCTTACGACAGGTTTCATTGTAGAGTGTAAGACTTGCATAAATAACCAACTAGGGGTCGTCCATAAATGACGTCACACTCGTAGGGGGGAGGGGGGTCCGTAATTTTGTGACGGTGTGTGATGAGGGGGAGGGGAGTGGGGGTTCAGATGGTGCGACGTCACACTTTCGCATTATAAAAAAGCAATGTTAGAAAACGAATTTTAGACGTTATTTTGCGTTTTAAAAAACTGTTTTAATAAATTGTAATAACAATTGATTAAAATACTCTATTTTGACAGAGCTCAGACAAGATTTTGGAAAAATAGCTGTTTGAAAAAATTCAACTGCAATTTTGAAGGGGGTTGTAGGCTGAGGTGTGATACATAATCATGGGCCTATCTATATTATAAGTCTATATCGATTAGACCTCTCTCCCCACACACAGGGTTAGAACAGCCCACAATCAACTCATTTTTTTTTTGTGTGGTCATCATAACTAGTCAGTGTTTCTTCCAGACTTTTTTCTCCGGGGGGGCACTTGAAATTTTCGGGGGGGGGGGGCGGTAAACTTTCTTCGGGGGGGGGGGGGGCGGACACTGTTAAAAGTATTTATTTTCTATATAAATTATATAAATTTCATTTCGTTCGGGGGGGGGGGGGGGCGGTAAAAATTTTTCGGGGGGGCAAAGCCCCCCCGAAGAGATGCCTGGAAGAAACTCTGTAACTAGTTGACCCTTAAATTTAAAAACATACTAGAAAAAACAATGTAAAATTAATATCTGCCGTAGTCTCATTTTTCTTTTCAAAATTAATTCATGTATCCATTATCAGCTAAGTTAATGAGACGGGGCACATTAAAATTTAACAACAGTATGAGTAACAATACATTGTTCTGAAGGCCTTGCCCGTAGAATTGCAAACTAGACCTTGGCCACATTTTTATTCAAGTTTTGGTTGGATACTATTGTCACGTGACTAGAGTAACTGTTATTGCGGAAGTTAATGCTTATTTATAGTAAACAAAAACACCTAGATCTAATCTAGATTCTAGGTCTAGATCTGAATCTAGATGTAGTCAAGATAGAAGATATAACTATGTTAGTATCAGTCGACGACGCAGAAGAATAATACTTGTTAAATAGATGTAGTGTTGGATATGGAATTAATTGTTGCCTTGTTTTCTTAAACATCTGTATGAGTGTAACAGTTTTAGTTTTAGTAATTTTAAAATTTTAAGTTTTTGACTTTTTCAGTTTTTGTGTCTCACTTTCTCAATTCTGACTGTCTGGCATGATCTGAAAAATATTTAATTTAAATTTTAAAATAAAAATAGATTCTAGCCATTTTGGACTTCTTCACTGGTCTAGTAGAGTAGTTACAGTTAGTATGTGTAGGGCGCGTAGGGTTTAAAATAATTAAACATCCTTCTTTATGTATTTATCTATATATAATTATATATTATATATAATTCTCTTATTAGAGACGCTAGAAAACAAGCTGTAAGCGCGCTCCCTACCATCCCACCCCTACATGGTCTGGTGAGCTGTGGTTCACGCTAAATGTTTACAAGCAGAGCCGGGTTCAGTGACGACTATTAGGGGCAGATAATTTAGTTTGAAACGATTTTAAACATAGGGGGGGGGGGGGGGGGGTAACTAAGTGGAGTTTACTTTAGGGGAGGAGGGGGGGTTATCGTCCTAACTAGCTACTTATAGTGTTTTAAAGAAATATTTTCAGTGGCAGCGTTGGTACTGTAGAATTCACAAATTATGAATTACTGAAAAGTAGAAAAAAACAACTAAATAGTGGCGTATGATATGCCGCGGGTCGGCTCGTATATTATAATACTGATCTTTACCTAATTCTTTATTATTTACATAAAATACATATCATTTCATTAGGCTTATTAAGTTTTTTCCTTTCTAATCTAATAAGCAGTCTACTACTAATTAGTAATTTCCAATCTCTTTAGACATTTAGTAAATGGTAGTTTTAGAACAATAGAAATCAATTAGTTTTTAACAATGCCAAGTCCTAATTGCAGGTGTGGCTATTTGGACCTGGGGCTGAATAGATGCAACCTTTTTAAAAGCCCTGCTAACTCAATTCAAAATAAAAATCTTACAAGAAAAGTGTAATTGACAATAAGGCAAAAAACTGCCACTGATATATGTCTAAGTTCTATAAAAAAATTTAATTATGAATATGATTACTGATTTCTATTTTCAGAACAAGATGGGTGTCTGGCGAGAAAGAGGACTCACTTATAAAGTTGGCTTTATTGGAGTTGTAGTTGGTTCTTTAACATTTATTGTTGGATTTTGTGCACCATCATGGGCAATTTTTAAAGCTGTGCAATATGAAGCGACAGAAAGCATGGGGTTGTGGCAGAAGTGTACTGAAGATCTGGGAGTTTGTGCCTTAACTGTAAGCAATGATGACAACATAGGTAAACAGCTTCTCATTTGTTAAACTGTAAACAGTGTATTTATATTTTTAGTGTATTTTTTTTATATTGTCATTGAACTTTACTTTATAGGGCTATGAATTTATAAGTAAAAGCATCATACACTAATAAGGGAAGGGAATTTTATTTTTATAACAGGATAGCAAAATTGTTTTTACCTGCTGTATTTACCTTCCCTCTAACAATTTATACACTTAATGTAATAAGGATATTTTTGTATCTAAAATGATCTTTATAAATCGTGTATCTCTTAATAGAACTTGTACTGTCATCACCCTGCTAAAATTTAGAAATCCTGATTCAATACCATACTATTTTTGTTTTTCCCCTTTTAGGATGGTTGAAAGCTGTCAGGGCACTGGAGTGTATTGCAATGTTTTTTGCTGTTGCTGCCTGCATTAGTGGGTTATATTGCAATTGCATTGTGAAGGCACAAATAATGCCAGATTTCTTCAATAAAAATATGGAAACATCAGCCATAGTCTCAGGTAGGTTGTAGTTATATTAAATATTAAATAAATTAAAAACCATGTTTTATTTCTATAAATTGCAACGTGGAGAATAAAAAAGTTAAACAAATGATTAACTGAATAGCTTTAAATTAGAAACTATGATATATTTGGTAAAAACATCTATTATTGATCTTATTTTAATTATTTAAAATGATCTTTACATTTTCAGTTGTTTTTGGCTCTTTTGGTCTTATAATCTTCGCCACACAAATCCAGAACTATTGTCAAGACAAAACTGGTGAAATCTTCTGGGGCTTTGTTCTTGTTTGTGTCTCCAACTCTTTTATTGGCGTCAGTGCATTTCTCATGTTGATATCCCACAAGCTGCATGTGATGGCTCAGCATGATCAGTTCCTTCATCACCATTTGAATGGCCCATTCCATGGCCAGATGCGCAACTCCAATACTGATGCCGGTAGCCAGGTTTTTATTGCTACCTCTGAGGGTTATCTGGACTTTGGACCTCCACCCTATGAGAGTGTAGTCAACTGTGTCCCTCAGGATGAAACCCCTCCACCTCCATACTCTCAGGTTGAGAAGTTGAATAAATAACACCAGCCTTAACTAAGTACTTAACTAGCAGAGTAATCCATACTTTTTTTTTTAATGCTGTTCAAGATATACGTAATGCCTATTCAGGCCATTGACTTGATAAAAAAGTATAAATGATCTAAAGGTCATATTTCAAATTGTTTTACACTGCCTGGGGAAGAGAGATGTTTGCCTTCATAAAGAAAATTTCATGTTATATTACACTGTATTATTTATTTATCCCTTAATGGAAATTTTGTAGTACACGATTACTCTGTGATGTTTACATGTATTTGGATATTATTTCTAAAACTCATGTACTTGTTTTTTTTTCGGTTGCAATAAAAGTTTGATATTGTTTAAATGTTACTGTTAAAAAAAGTCAACTTAAACTAAAAGTAATCCTGAGATTAATGTGTTAAAAAGCTGTAAAATTGAAAGCTTTTCTTGCAAGGCAAAACAAAATACATGAATGCGCTATACATGTTGAGTGCTAAGTGCCTATAAGGTGATAGTTCTTATTGCAAGAATATTTACTGTTTTTTCCTGCTGATGTTTCTTATTTTAAAATGTTTTGTGATACTTAATGATACCTAAATATTTTAAATTACCATATCTTAAATAATTGCAAAGCTTTTTTTTCTAGTTAAAATTATTTTTCATTTTTAATATTGTAACAATGGTTAACTACATAGTTAATTAAAACCGCTTATTTTATTGTTCATGTTTATTTATTAGTGTTCAGCTAATTGTAATAACACTTTCTTTAAAAGTACACAAATGGAAAGTTAGAAAAAAGAAAATTTTACTTTTATCGTCTAGAAAACTTTTATAAAGTTTTATGTGTGCCAACAAATAAACAGGAATATTTATTTTCATATAGATTAAATTACAAATGAATATGTAATTTTATAAACAGATTACAAAAGGGTGCCTTCTAGTGGTGGGTCACCATCTGATTTGGATCTTGTATATTCTTTCTTTTTCATGACGTCTTTGTCTGACTGATTTATAAAAAAGAAAGGATTTTTTCTTACCTCTGAATCTTAAAGAATACAAAATATTCAACACATATCTGCGACTCTGATGCTGTCTGAACTATCATATTTTACTTGTGATTTCTATGTATGTGAAACATGTGAACATGTACACTTTATTTTAAAGTCATTATAGTATAATAGTAAAAATTGGCTTTTTAGTAAAAGTTTGGACCTTTTGAGGTCTTAAAATATTTTGACTGGAAATAATTATTTCTTTACTCCTTAAGCTCTTTAATATTGGAGGACACTGAGCTTAAAAGATACAAAAGTGTTACAAAATTACCTTGTCTGACCAATTGCCCTTGTGTGGAGTTTATTAAAGGTAGTTGTTTCAAGCTTTAATTTAATAATTTTTATGTAAATAGTTGTACATACATTTCCTGCCTATGTGCTGGTTCAGTTCTTTTATGTTGCAATGCTGATTTTCTGGATGGCTGGCAAAGTCAGAAGTTCAAAGAATCAAAATATTTCAGCTGTTATTGTTAAATAATTGTAAAATTTGATTTACTTTTTTTTGGCCTGATTGAGGTATAATTTGCTACGTTTTTCTGGAAAATACATTGAAGACAGAATTTATCTAATTTTATTCATTGTCACATTGCTTAAAACATACACAAAGAGCCAGTGTTCAGTATATTTTTTACATTGTACAAGTTGAATATTCATGCTCAAATATTTTTGTATTTTATGATGGGCAATGGAATTGCATTGAATACTCATCTTTTTAACATTTTGATTTTGTAAGATTCATCAAAATACCCAAAAGTAAGAGATTACTACATAAGTGAATGCTAGAAAATAAAGTTTCGAGCTTTACTTAAAATTAATTGAAAATACTATGTCAGATTAATTAATAACTGGAAACTCCTTAATAAAAATTTAATTTGAGCATCTGATTGGTTTTTGTTTTTGTGTCTTAAATTATTATAAATTTTTCTAATTATAGATTTTTTGTTAAGAACAAATTAACCAACATAGACAAATACAAAACAAAATCATCATTCATGTAGACCTCTATTTTTATTATACTATTACTGACACAATAAATAAATATGTATAAAAATGTATTTGCACATATGACAATCTTAATGTTTATTAAATGTATTTAAGATGTTACACATGAAGTTAGTGGACCAACAGTTTTTGTGGCACTTATTTAATTAAAAAAATGTCACGTTTACAAATTATAATGTCACTTATTGAACATGTCACATTCCATAAGGAAAAATAACAAACTCACTACACCTTCAATTGCTGGCAACAAGCTCAGGAAAGAAGCACTACAAAAAAACACATTCTTCTAGCTTTAAAAACTGTATTTTAGTGCTACCTGATAGAGGCATAAAATCAGTTGCTTTTTGATGTGTTTTTATTGCAATTTTTTTGTTAACACGCCTTTTTTATTTTGATACATTCTGGCCAAACTTCAGAGAAACCTACTAACTTATCTATAATTTATTTTTGGAGATATTTCGTAGCAAACTGTGGAGCTGTAATAAGAAAAAAGTAAAACAAAAACATTTAATTTCAAAGTTAATTAAAAAATTTACCATTTCCTTATCGAAAACTTTAATAATTTAACACATTTAATATATAATGCAAATTGTCAGTAAAATAACTTTAACTGATTAGTGTGTAAACAGGAACTTACCTCTCCATTACATTCATCTAAAGCAATTTGTTTTAATTTATCCACCTCAGCTTGCAAGCATTCAACTTCTCTAGAACAACAGTGATAAAAAAAATTAAGTTATTTTGGGCAAGGCAACAAGATCTATATATCATGCAATCAAAATAAAACTACTTTTGGATTAGATGAAAATGGAAAAAAACTGATTTAACCCCAAGGACAATGCAGTTACCATTTTCATTTTCATTGAGGACATCTTTCAACTTTAGATTGCTAGATCCAGTTAAAATGATATTATATGTTCTATCTGGCAACTTTTCATTTTTGAAATAAATCAATACTTTCTAGTTTAATATTTCATAATGCCTTTAATTCTTATAAACATGAAAATCTCCAATTTTTTATGTTCTTATTGTGTTTGATGCATAATAATTAAAACATCACAAAAGAAAGTTTAAATATAACAATACCTGTACATTCAATATATTAGTATTAGCTAAAAAGATTTATTTCAATTCAAATACTCAAAATATGATCACGATGATTTAGGTTTCTATTGCATGAATTACGAAATAACCTAGTCTCTTTCTCCAAAGTTGATGCAAACTTTTCCTCTAGTTCCTCTAATCTGTTTACTTCTGACGCAAGGACTTCCTGTTGATTGGATTGATAAAAAACTTATTGGTAATAAACTTGTCTCCTACTCAAAATATATAATTTTCTCACTAAAGATGTGAAATAAGTAGCTAGGGATGGACATAAATGTAAAAGAGAGTAAAAGTTCAAAGGCAAATTTAAAAACTGAAAAATTGTCTTTTGTATTATGCAGGAACTAAGAAGCAAAGGTCTATTGTTAAAATATTGTGTTTTATTTCAGCACTAATTTTAATATCATAAGCTACCTGTGTTGTTCTCAACAAACTTGCATCAATCACCTTCTCTTTAGGGATCTTGGTTTTCTTTAGTTTTTGCTGGATCCTGTTTCAATATCCAAAAGAATATTATTTCAGAAATAAATAATATGCTGTTCATATAAAATTCAAGTGGAGACCAAAATAATCATCTTCATTTCTTTGTCAAGTCAGATTAAAAAAATATGAGTTAGGGTATTAGCAAGGGTAAAGTCTCTTGTTTGGTTTAGTATCGTAATCAGTAAGGCTCAAAGAACTTAATTTCATTGGTTGTTTTTGGTTTCAAATTTAACAAAAAAAGATTTCTCTCTACTAGCAATACTGCTTCAGGTATCTTCATTATTCTTTATTGTAGAGGAGATTTCCCCACACAATAAGTATTATGTGTTTATTTGTCAACATGAATCTGATTTCAGCCTTTTTTGTTTCTGGATTTGCTTCCAAAGCCTTGTCCACCCAGGAACAAACTGCTGTCCCCAGCAAATTGATCCTCCTTAGCTCAATCATATGCTCTCTTGGCTGACCAAGCAGTGCTATTTCAAGCTATCAGATCTCACAAAAAAAAATTTTCTTGTCAAAATTGTGGTTAGTAGAAAATAAAAGTACTATTACTAAACTATTCTGTTAATATTTTAGGTGGAAAAGTTAGGTAAGAAATGTACTTTGATTTTCTCTAGGTACATAGGATTATATTGCCATACCAGTCATGTGTTAAGCAAGTAGGTCTACCGGGTGGTGCATTTAAACAATTAAAGTACCCAGGATCATACCCATGCCTAAAATTAACGGTAACACTGTAGGCTACTTGAGAAAAAGATGGAGATAAAAGTTGGAAAATTGATAAAAATGGAAATGTTTATAAAACTATTATTGACATCCATATTATCTTGCAATAATACCAAAGAGCTTTAGGAGGGATCAGTTTAAAAAAAAACAAACATTCACAAATTATTTAATGTTAACATTGTGATTCAGTCTGAACTAGAAAAAGCAAAAAATATTTTGAATCTTGAACCATTGGCAGGTACTTGGGGTCACTGAGTTCACATAAGCTTTGAAATCAGTTGCTGTTACTTAAACAATTTAAAATACTTGAGGTCTAACAATGCCCCCATCCCCCCTCTTGCAATGACAAAGTAACTGAGTGATTAGGTTTCTTTGGTGAATCAGCCACATATGTCATACCACGCTAATCCTACTCACATTGGGAAAAAAATTTGGGTAAATTCACTAGAGAATGGCCTTTTTGTTAATCTGAAAATATGGACTTCATGGAGAAATTTTTTTTTTAAATCTCAACTCCAGACTTTTTAAAAATCCAGCCCAAAAACTTTACACTTTCTAGACTTTTTAGAGTTTGAAATTTCTAAATTCCACACTTTTTCCAGACAGTATGTGAACCATGTGTGACACTAAGTACATTTAAAGTAATTTATTATTTTAAAATTATAGGTAATTGTATGCAGAGGCATACTAAATGAAACTGTGGAACCTAACATTAAACACACTTTAATTTTGTAATAAAACACCAACCAAAAACATGCAAAAAATGCATGTGTGTCATTGATTGGTGGCTGACACTCTGAAAATCTTATGGTTTTATCTAAATTTTTACCAAAATGTTACATAAGCCAAGGGCTAACTGTTAACTAGCCAATATAATACATAATGGTTGAAACAAATGTTACCGAGATTTTATAACAGAAAATGTAATGTCCTGCTCTTGATTTTGAAATCCTAATAGAAAATGATCCATTGAATCATTCAACATTGTCATAAGTTCTGTTTGTAAAGGTTGAGGAATCTTCTGCCACTTAGAATACACTTTCTTAGACACTTTTCTATGTTTAAATGATCCAACATCACGTCCAGCATGGATGCTTGAATTATGCTTATCATATACTTTCTGTCTATTCACTTTACAAGGGCTTGTTGAGGGAGATTGGTTGTCATTTTTCTGATCAGCAGTCTTCAGTTGCTTCTTTGTCTTATATGGCTGAGCTTGAACATTATTAATGCAATCACTGTCACTACTTTTACTTGAAGAAGCAATATAATTTGATGTTTTCATTTTCAATTTAGAATCTAAAAAAACTAGATCTAGATCATAGACGACTTCCTCCACATGAACTGGGGGTGACAGAACACAAACTTTACTAAGCTCAGCTTAGTAAGCTGAGATGAAAATTCAAATTTTTGTGCTTGTCACTGTACTGTGACTAGATTCTAATGTCTAATAGAATAGTGATTGTAGCTGTAGTGTAGTTTTCTATACTCAGTAGAGTGTAGGTTTTTAGTAAAATTTATTTTTGGCCTGGGCTATTTTAATTTTCGAATTTCACTTTCTCAGACCAAGATCTAGACTAGAAACTAGACGTCTAGCAAGTTAGATCTCGTCTATACTAGATCTATAAGCTTAACTAAATCTATAATGTATAAATCTAATTAGATGATAATTTTATTGATTTCTTTTTGTATCTTGTCATTTTGGGGATAATTGGCGTAACACAGATTTTGCATTACTGTTTAGTGTTTACTGTTCAAGAAGGCTGTTTTGAAGATTTAGTCACCGTTTTAAAATACACAAATAGTAACAGTAGGCCAGATAAAATTAAACATTTTAGTGGCATAAAGAAGATAATGTTCAAAAGTCCCATTTGCTCGGAACATTATCCGTACCTAATTATTTTCGATAATTAAAAAAAATCTTCTAAGGGCTTGTCTGCAATTTTAAAAGTATTGTTTTATTTATTTATTGGCATTTTAAAATGAGATTATGTAGGCCTAGACGACATAATTTAGATTTCTATGTAATATTGTAGCAAACAAATACAGTCTAATCACAAAAACGTCAATGAACAGCTCTCAAAATTTAAAACCAGAGCAATGTATAGAATATCTCATTTAAAACAATATAATTATACACTACAGTTTATTATATAGACGATAGAAGCTCTTAACAGAAGGTTAAAATGAAAAAAGGAAAGGGCTTCAAAATTTAAAAAATTCGATTTAAAAATTGCCGACGTGGCAAAGCAGATAAAGCATCAAAATCAAATTATTTACACCGAAAACGCATTATTGATACTTTGAGATATATTTGAAGACCCGTAAACTTAGATCTGTATACTAGATCTAATAGACTTTATAATGCTTTTTTGGATAGATCTATACTCTATTTCAACGTTTACCATGTTTATCACAGCATATAGAATTATAGATCTATACATAATTATTAAAAACATTATGCTCATTTTTTTGTTTTTGTGTAATTTTTAGATAAATTGTAGTACCGACATTTAAATGGACTCAAACAATGTAAACTCAACTACTAGATCTAGAATCTAGAGATACCCTAGATACTAGATAGATCTAGATACTGAGTGTTGTATCTTAAGTACTGTGCTACGTTAAGGTAGGACCAGAATTAGTAGAATTTGGGTAAAACTCCATTTTAGCGTATTTTATTCGCTGCTTCACGTCACTAGTCAAGTGTGAAATTCTCTTGTCACACTTGTGACTGTGTGTGTGTGTGTAATTACATTCACTGTATAGTTATAGTACAAGTACAAGTAGTGTATTCTAAGTGTATGTGACCAGTATGTGTGTGTGTAGATTACTGTAGATTCAAATTAAAAACTGACTATACTAAATACTAGTATATTACTAGTGTAGTACACTAGAATAAAGACAATAGATAGACTAATAATTTCAGTTTCTATTTTAAGTAAATATTAAAAAGCATAGGCAAATTATGATAATATTCAGTATTTTACACTCTCCTTACACACAATACACTTACACACCACACAGTCACAGTGACTCTAGAGTAGAACTGATTCTAGATCTAAATCTGTAGGACTCTATACTCTATCTATAGGGGTCATCCATAAATGACGTCACACTCGTAGGCGGGAGGGGGGTCCGTAATTTTGTGACGATGTGTGATGAGGGGAAGGGGGGGGGGGGGGTCAGATGTTGCGACGTCACATTTTCGCATTATAAAAAAGCAATGTTAGAAAACTAATTTTAGACGTTATTTCGCGTTTTAGATAACTGTTTTAATAAATTGTAATAGTTTAGACAAGATTTTGGAAAAATATCAATGTTTTAAAAAAATTCAACTGCAATTTTGAGGGGGGTTGTAGGTTGAAGTGTGACGTCATTTTTGGGGGGGGGGGGGTCTGGCTTTTTGTGACGAAGTGTGACGGAGGGGAGGGGGGGAGGTAAAAATCGTCAAAAAAAGCGTGACGTCATTTATGGATGACCCCATAGGCCTATATATGGCCTATAGCAATAATTATTACGTAGCATATTCTATAGCAATAGTAATATTATATACGAAGTGACTACTCGGAAAAAGATTTTTCGCCCCAACGTCTCCACCTAGTTGGCAAAAGATAGCTCTGCGCATGCGCAGTGACCTATGGCTAGGTTTAGGGATAGGGTTAGGGCAGGGATAGGGTTAGGATTAGGGTTATGGATAGGATTAGGGTTGGGGCTAGGGTTCTGCGGTTGTAAACACACGCATGCGCAGTACCATCGAAAAACATCGCCGCGAAGGCAAGTCGTAGTTTCTCTCCGATGCGCATGTGTATCTTTTTCCGGCTAGCATCGGCCTATATTATAATCTATAGGTATTTTTACTATTTCTTAAATTTTTTAATTCAAGAATTCATTTTAACCTAGTGTAATTATTGTATGGTTCATAAACATTAAAATAAATGTATCATCCACAGTTAAGTCAGGAATGATGAAGATACATTTTGGACTTGCTGCATGTATTATAGTCATACATATAGGTAAGCGTTTTACTAGAGAGTAAATATATATAATCATATAGGTAAGCTTTTTACTGGAGAGCAAATACATATAGATAAGCATTTTGCTAGAGAGCATTTATAGGCTAGCATTTTACTAGAGAGCACATACATACAGGTAAGTATTTCACTAGTGAGCTCATGTAATAACTCCTAATTTTGGGAAGACTGTGTGTTTAAAGTACTTAAAATAATGGCAGCCATAAAAATAATTACACACATGTTTTTACCATATATAAATAAACAAATTCATAAAATCTATTGCATTATTTTGAATTGATTGATGTTAGTATGGGGCTGGTGTGTTTGGATGGATACAAAGATATCAGTTACATATATACTACATTATGTATGCCAGACTGGTAGATCACATAGTACACAATGTAACTTACACACATAAGACGAGTCTTACTTAGGTTGAGATGGATTGAAAATGCAGGGACAGATGTATGGTATAATTAAAAAGGGTTTGCTTCTGGAGAAGAAATGATGTAGAGAGACTAGAAGGGGAAAACAAGATGGCTCAGGCTAATGTCTTTAAAAACAGTAGAGCCATAGATCATCAGTCTTGAACTTGCAGACATTTTTTTCTCATCTTGCAGGTTGTCTACATGCAGAATCTCGTCATTCTACAGAGAAGACAGTCAATCATTTATATGGTGAGTATATAAATAATTGTTACCTTTTGGACATTTTTTACCCTACATTATGAAATAAATATACATCCATCTACATTTTTAATTATAATAATACATGATTTATTAATTAAGATTGACTTATGAAACTTTATTTCAGATGCAAAAAGTATTTTGTTTATAGTCCTCTCCCAGCCTAATGAATATCATGTCAGTCAGGCAAAACTATTCAGACAACAATTTGTGGACCAGCTTACACAATTAGATAAGGTAAGGGGTAAAAAAAAAATTAGTGGATCTCTCTCATTTCTATTTCACTCACCATCCCTCCATCATCTATTAGAATTTTTTATATTAGTAAAATAAATTATCTAAACATCAGTTTATGGACACAATGTTTGTCTACATAGCTTATCCTAAAAAAAACCCAACAAACACCACATTTTTAAATTTCATCTACACAGGCTGATTGGCCTCAACTTATTTTTACTCATGAGGATTTTGTTGATGTGCATGGAAGCTGGACTGTGATTCCTCTATTGGGAAAGTTAGTTTTACCTTCTTGTCCAAGTTTTTATAAATATAGTTTCAATTCACATTTTATTGAAATAGGTTTATATTTTCAGATATATGTTTACATTTGCAGTCTACTTGTTCATAATTTATAGCACTATAGCTACAAAAGCCTTTTGTAGAATTTCATCTAAGGTTTGAATCATCAGTGTAGCAGTATAATTTAGCACAGTGCTCACACTTTAGATATCTCAGCCCTTTCAATGTCCATTTATAGCGCCAGAATCACAATGTTACTTCTTTCCATATTTGCCTCTATTTATATATGAAAGCTTAAACACTGCACAAGGCACAGGTCTCGACCAAATGCACCACCAATTTCAGTACAATCAAAATGAGTTTTGATAATAGTTATATGTTGGTATACTCCTGCTTTTTTATAGATTGGTAGAGAAGCTGAAAAAGTCCAATACCTCATGGGTTTTTATTTGTGAGGAGGATACACAAGTTGACATTGGTGGGCTTTCATCCTTACTGCAACAGTATGATCCCTCTCAGGTAATATTAGGCATTAGAAATCAGTTTCAATAGCTCCTTGTGCTTTAGTTGTAAAAGGTCTTTATTACTTAGTTATATTTTTATCTTATGTGAGTTGTATTCGGCATATTATTGTATCAGTTTTATAACATCCTTGTGTTTGAATTATACTTGGTATTATTGTGTCAGCTATAATGACAATAAAAGTAAAATCAGTTAGCAGGACTCAAAAATCTGTTATTTTTATTTTTTTCCAGGAATATTTTCTTGGAAGAGAGCTTAGAGACCAGCAAACAACCATCATCCACCATTTTGCTTTTGCTGATGACCCATCCAAATTTACATACCCCGACTTTAGAGCTGGTTTTGTTTTGAGTAGGGCACTTGTGGTCAGGTAAGTTTTCTAAGTAAAATTATTTTAGTTAAATTCTATCTTGTTTCTACTTTATTTTAAAAAATATCACATTATTAACAATAATAATTATTATTTTACATTTTTATTTTTTGCAGCTTATTTAAAAGATTTAAAAAGGGTAAATTTAAAGCAGATTTCTCCATCGACCCAAAGCATGAGTTGAGCATGTTTATTTGGGATAATGGAGTAGGAACAACTCTGACAAACATCAAGGAGTTTTGCTCGGCAGATAAAAGCTCAGGTTCTCATTGTGTAACACGGCAACCACAGAAGTTTCCAGAGTGTGGGGTTCCGTTAAAAAAACAGGATCTGGTCGTTGCTGTTAAAACATGCCAGCAGTTCCATGAGACCAGAGGTAAAAGGTGGGGGTGGTGTGGTTTGTCTTGGTGTGGTTTGTGGTAGTAGTGTTGTTGCATTGGTGGTTTTTTCATGGTGTGAATTATGGTGGAGTGCAGTGTTGTGTGGTTATTGGGAGCTGTGGTAAGCTTTAGGTGTTATGGGGGATTATGGTGGGAGTAGGGTGTAATGTGGCAGGTGTAGGTGAATTGGGGGTTTGTGGTGTAGGTTGGTTGATGAGGTGGTTTATGTCATGGTCAGCTGTATCATCTGTAGGTAAGTAAAGTTTCCCTTCAAACCTGACGGTCTATGGGGCAAGTGAAGTAGAGTTCACTTGTTTCTGTGACCTCGGCATATAAAGAGATAGTGTGGTCAGCACTATGCCCAGCCGCCTTTACTCTCCCTAACGTGAGTTAGGTACCCATCAGAGTTGGGTGGACTCAGGGACGGTCTGCTGACTTGAACCCGGATTCGAACTCGAGACTTACGGGTTAGCAGTCCAGCTCTCTACCGCTAGACCACTCCGTCCCATCTGTAGGTGGTTTTTAGAATAATTCTAGAGGGTGTAGGAGCGGGCATGAGGGGGGGGGAGTGGGGGTTACATAATTTTGGCTTTGATTTAGGCTGAATGTTTAGAACTACTTTAGAACATTTAGAATTTGTTTTAGATAAACCCACCTATACCTTTTTTCACATGTACGTTAAAAATTTTCATAGAAATAAGTTATTATAATATAGCTGTAAGGTATTTGAGCCATTATTTAGTGCCTGTGTTATGTAAACCATGTGAGAATCACTGTTGGAACATGTCTACAGTCCCCATAGTGCAGGCCACATGGGGGAAACAAGCTGGGGTTATTGAGTACTTCAGTGATGTCAAGGACAGCAGGATACCAACCACTGATCTGGGCATCCCAAACACAGAGAGAGGTCAGTACTTACTCTGGAAGTCTTTAGTTTTAGAAGATTATACAAATATAAACCTAGATCTCTTTTATTTAGAAGGTATGTTGTTTAGTATGTTTTCTTTTAGATCTATTGTGGAAATAACACTTGGGCTTTCAAATTTATAATTATTTAATTTTAAGTTTTGTAGATCTGGTATTTAGAAATAATTGATTTAAAAAAAAACACAGCAACAACCGTCTCTTTTAATCTAAATGTTAGTCGAAGAATAAAATGCAGAGGACATTTTATTTTAGAGATTGTCATTTAATTTTAGTTCTAATATTAAAATAATCTAAACATTTTATTAATGTATTTGTAGTATAAATGTAATAATTTAGTCAATAGTTAATTAGTTAGCTACTTCATGTGTTGATTATTTTATGAATATATTTTTGCAGGGCATTGTGGGAAGACTATAGGCATCATCAGGAGGATAGTGGACACCACAGCTCTGTCATCCCCCGCCTGGGTTTTGATCGCGGATGATGACACCATTATAAACCTGGACAGGTTGAGGGCGTTGCTGGCGTGTTACAACCACAGGCAACCTGTGGCCCTGGGGGAAAGATACGGGTACAGTGTGGTGCAAGGGGGAGGTTACGACTACATCACTGGAGGTGGGGGGTAAGTTTTTCTATAGTTTTTCTAGGTGTGAATTTATATCATGAGGAAATGATAGAAGTAACAAAACAATTGTTTAGTTCAGTAATTGTAGATTATGAGTTATTCCCTTTAAATTGAAAATGTTGATAAAGTAACTAATTTCATGCTTGGCTTAATTCTTCATTGAAATTAAAGTCACAAGATCTATTTAAAAAATCTAATATTTTAGACATAAAGTAGTTAGGTATTATAAAAATGTATAAGTGTTTTATAGCTTTACAGATAAATGAGGTTATTTAAAAAAAAGCTCTATTTATAAGTAGTATTGCACGTGGTTTATTTGTTTTTAGTAAAAATTTTTGTTGTTGCATTCAGCATGGTGTTCAGCCAGCCAGCCATACGTCTGCTGTCGACCAGGTGCAACTGTTACGCTGACGACTCACCTGACGACATGACACTGGGGATGTGTTTGAAATCCATTGGTGTCCCTGTGACACACAGTCGGTTTTTCCACCAGGTAGGGGCCATGTTACCCCCAACATTCTTTTACCCAATGTTTCTTCCCTGCCCTGAAGAGAGTCTACCCCCCCCCCCCCCCCCCCCCTCCCCAAATTAAATGGAATTTATATAGAAATCATATACTTTTAACAGTGTCCGTTCCCTGGAAAATTTTGTCCGCCCCTCAAAAATATCAAGTGCCTTCCCGGACAAAAAAGTCTGGAAAAAACACTGCTTATACCACCCTCATGCCTATCTAATCTCTTCTCCTCTAAAGGAGGAATAGCCAGTTTGTGAGCAGTGATGTGAATGCTTGTAAATGTTTTAAAACCCTTATTTTATTATTTAAGGGGAGGTAATCATTAAAAAGGTTTTAAAAGTTATTGCTCTTTATCCAGGCCAGGCCAGATGACTACAGCAAAGATTTCCTCTCCAACCAGCTCCCTGTGTCTTTTCATAAACACTGGAACAACGACCCTTACAAGGTGTTTGCTGACCTGACAGCTGACCACACAGATAACAAGGTGAAGGTTATGAAAAAGAAGCACACAGAAGAGTTGTAGATTGTTTATCTGACGGCCATATTGTATCAGAGGTTTAGTCTTTTTGATCAGAGGTTGACAGCCGTGTTGGACCAAACACTTGAACCAAAGAGGCTTTACAGTGGGTGAAGGAGGATGCTTGCCTGGAGTGGTCATAGTGTGGCTGGTCACTGTGTGGCTGGTCAAAGTGTGGCTGGTCAAAGTGTGGCTGGTCAGTGTGGCTGGTCAAAGTGTGGCTGGTCACTGTGTGGCTGGTCAAAGTGTGGCTGGTCAGTGTGGCTGGTCAAAGTGTGGCTGGTCACTGTGTGGCTGGTCAAAGTGTGGCTGGTCAATGTGTGGCTGGTCAGTGTGTAGCTGGTCAGTGTGGATGGTATCTGTGTGTCAGGTTTTAAGTGGTTATAGCCAGGTGTTCCCATGTGGTTTAATGTTGGCTGTGTGTTGGGTGGAGATTTGAATGAAGATTTTGTTTGGGTGACCATCCATAAGTCTCAAGGCTTGAGTGACCAATATAGTTGTGGCCAGGTGTTAGATGGCCATTGTAGTTGTGGACAGGTGTTAGATGGCCATTGTAGTTGTGGACAGGTGTTAGATGACCAATGTAGTTGTGGACAGGTGTTAGATGGCCATTGTAGTTGTGGACAGGTGTTAGATGGCCATTGTAGTTGTGGACAGGTGTTAGATGACCATTGTAGTTGTGGACAGGTGTTAGATGGCCCATGTAGTTGTGGACAGGTGTTAGATGACCATTGTAGTTGTGGACAGGTGTTAGATGACCATTGTAGTTGTGGACAGGTGTTAGATGACCATTGTAGTTGTGGACAGGTGTTAGATGACCATTGTAGTTGTGGACAGGTGTTAGATGACCATTGTAGTTGTGGACAGGTGTTAGATGGCCAGTTGTGTACAGGTGTTAGATGACCATTGTAGTTGTGGACAGGTGTTAGATGACCATTGTAGTTGTGGACAGGTGTTAGATGACCATTGTAGTTGTGGACAGGTGTTAGATGGCCATTGTAGTTGTGGCCAGGTGTTAGATGGCCATTGTAGTTGTGGCCAGGTGTTAGATGGCCATTGTAGTTGTGGCCAGGTGTTAGATGACCATTGTAGTTGTGGACAGGTGTTAGATGGCCATTATAGTTGTGGACAGGTGTTAGATGGCCATTGTAGTTGTGGCCAAGTGATAGAGAGCCATTGCCATTGTGGCCATGTTGTTAGATGGCCAGGTATTAGGAGGTCATGTGGTAGGGGTGTTTTGCAATTGTATCCAGTGGCCATTGCCGTTTTGGCCAGGTATTGGTTGGCCATTGCAGTTTTGGCCAGGTATTGGTTGGCCATTTATAGTTGAGGCCAGGTATTAGTTGGCCATTGTAGTTGTGGTCATGTCTTGCATGCCATTGTAGCTGGCATTAGTGTAGGGTAACCAAGCTCCCAAAACCTTAAGTTCTGCACAACTGGATTAAAACTCTCCACTGTTTAATTAGTTGGATTCCCCTTTGTCCATAGCAGAAATTATGGCTATCCATCATTTGCTTGGCCGTCATTTTCTTGGCCAAGTCTGCCCCATGTCATATAAATAACATAGCTAATTAGTCTATTTATTTTACCTACTTTAATTAAGTCAGGTAATTTTAAAGTGATAACCGCCATATATTGTACATTTATAAATGTTCAATGTCTTCCATTTATTTATTATCCACCAAATCATTTGAATTTTAAAAAATTAGCCAATGTTCCATTTGAAAATTGTCATATGTATAGTTTACTGCCTGTGTTCCTGAATGTTTTAATATTAAAGATTCTCATAACAATCTGGTTGTTTATTTTTGAAGCAGTATTGACTGTTTAAGTCAAAAGATAAGTTAGATGCTTGTGTGTTGTGTAAGCTGTTAGAAATAATGTTGCACCAAAGTTGTTTATTAATGGGATTTAATTTTGAAGTAAAACTTTATGTCTGTAAAAATTTAGATTATTTAGAACCAAAACTTGATACAGCCTTTCTTGGAGCAAAGAATTTTTAAAATGTATAAAAATCATCTAGTTTGATTTAGCCTTTGGTCCTGTATTGATTTACTTTATTAAAGGCTACTACGAACATTGCATTCATTATTTGAAAATTATTGGATCATTTCAAAAAGTTAAATTTTTGATCGCCGTTTACTAAATATATATTCTTGAAAACGTTATTTATTTTAAAATGGAACCATGGATAACCAAAAAACGTTGTAATTATTTTTCAAGCTGTCTTCTGATGCATGATCATGACAGGTTGGCGAACTAGGTCAAATATTCAAGGTGCTGTACTCTATTTCAATTGAATTAGTAGTTTTAATTGAGTAGTTTCCCCTTGACTAAGTTATTAAAAATGTTCGTCTCCAATGGTTTGTTGCGCTGTGTTGGGTTTTAATTGTGCTTAGCAACACTCATCATGTATGTAGTTTTTGTTTTATTTTGTTTAAGATGTTATTAGTTTTATTACGTTTTCATTGTGTTTTGTTTTGTTGTGTATGTTGCGCTTTTGTTGTATGATTGTTTTGTTGTGTCGGTTTTTTGTTGTGAATTAAAAACTTGCCATTCTGATGTACATTAGAGGAAGTCACTGTCGCTGGGGTTCTCTTCCTATTGTGTCTCGTCTTGTTTTAAATAAACCATGAGTGTCTTCATAAACGCCTTGATAGGATCAAATACCAATAGCTCAAGCTTTTATAAATTGTTATAGAAGACTTTATTTTAAACGTTGCATTTATTTACACTCTTTGTCGATCTGCTTAGATATAGAACTACTGGGAAAATCAATGTTATATATATATATATATGTTACGGTCAAAGCCCGAAGTGCGGCCAAACCCCGGATTGGCCGGCCAATCCGCGCATTGGCCGGCTCTCTTGGCCAAAGCCCGAAGAACTTAGCACTAAGATCGTATTTCGTACATTGGCCGGCCAATGCGCGCACTGGCCGGGACGTACTGGCCAAAGTCCAAAGCGCTTAAACTTGACAGCGTATTTTGTACATTGGCCGGCCAATGCGCGCACTGGCCGGGATGTCCTGGCCAATGTTCTATCTAGACTAAGTTGTGATCGCATTTTCATTATTCTGGGTGCGTTTTCATTGAGAGTAACGTATTGTTTAGCTCTTGTTTGTATAGCATTCTATATGCAAGGCGACATGGATCAAAAGGGCCGTCAGACCATGAGACAGACATAGCAGATGGCTGTCAAAAGGGAAAAAAATGTAAATCCATGTTAGTTTCCATATATGGGCTCTCGATAAAATAGTTACTGAGGAAGATCTTGAGAACATTGAACAAGAAATGGAGTTTGCCATAAATGCAACGACATCCTCAGCTAACACATCTACTGGCATGGCAGAACGTCCAGACCAGTTGCGTGACAATAATGTGGCCAACAGATTCTGTATAGTTTGTGAAAAACATTGTAGTGCAGCTCATTCTTTTGGATCCTGTGGCAACGATGTCCATGCTATTTGTGGAATACCCAATGAAGCAGACGAAGGGTACGGAGGGAACATTACCTGCAGATTGTGTCACAACAAACAAGACATCATGGAACACAGATCAGCAGCTCATACTGGCTTGCAAACTCAAGGTGCTAAGATGCTTAAAACATCAAATACAAAATTTAAAGATGGTGAAGTGGGTGACAATGTACGCATCCGTTTTCCAGATGTTGACAGAGGTTACGGTGATCCCCGAAGCGTGATTGCAGTTGTCATTAGCGTCGAGGGCGGTTTCTACAAATTAGGAACGGAACATGGTGTTCTAAAACAACTGTATGCTAGAAGTGAGTTTTCAATTCTCCACGAAAAACTGCTCTTATTGTCGTCAGTTGGCGCTGAGGAAAAATCACTACGAGCCATCGCATCTTCACAATCATTGATTGGGGGCCAAGACTACACTCGCTGCAATTGCACAACTAAGTGCACAACAAATCGCTGAAAGTGTAAATATAACAAGCTGCTATGTAATTCTAAATGCCATAAAAGTTCAACTTGTTGTAACAAATGATGATATTGATAGATTGAGACTATAGTAAAATAAAAAATTTGAATGTTTCTGTCATTTACTTTAATTAATAATCAATAAAGACTTAATTTCATGATCCTTACGGCATTAAAAAAAAACAAAATCTGCGCATGATCTTCTAATTCGGACTTTGGCCGGTCGTCCCTAGCCAGATGATCTTCTAATAAAGACTTTGGCCGGTCCACCATGGCCAGACCGCGGACTGGCCGGCCAAAGGCCGAAATCAAGCAAAGTTTCGGACTTTGACCGACCTATGGGAGGCGATATTGGCCAATGCGCGGATTGGCCGGCCAATCCTAGCATTGGCCGACTTCGGGCTTTGACCGTAACATATATATATGTTACGGTCAAAGCCCGAAGTGCGGCCAAAGCTAGGATTGGCCGGCCAATCAGCGGATTGGCCGGCTCTCTTGGCCAAAGCCCGAAGAACTTAGAACTAAGATCGTATTTCGTACATTGGCCGGCCAATGCGCGCACTGGCCGGGACGTACTGGCCAAAGTACGAAGAGCTTAAACTTGACAGCGTATTTTGTACATTGGCCGGCCAATGCGCGCACTGGCCGGGATGTCCTGGCCAATGTTCTATCTAGATTAAGTTGTGATCGCATTTTCATTATTCTGGGTGCGTTTTCATTGAGAGTAACGTATTGTTTAGCTCTTGTTTGTATAGCATTCTATATGCAAGGCGACATGGATCAAAAGGGCCGTCAGACCATGAGACAGACATAGCAGATGGCTGTCAAAAGAAAAAAATGTAAATCCATGTTAGTTTCCATATATGGGCTCTCGATAAAATAGTTACTGAGGAAGATCTTGAGAACATTGAACAAGAAATAGAGGTTGCCATAAATGCAACGACATCCTCAGCTAACACATCTACTGCCGTGGCGGAACGTCCAGACCAGTTGCGTGACAATATTGTGGCCAACCGATTCTGTATAGTTTGTGAAAAACATTGTAGTGCAGCTCATTCTTTTGGATCCTGTGGCAACGATGTCCTTGCTATTTGTGGAATACCCAATGAAGCAGACGAAGGGTACGGAGGGAACATTACCTTCAGATTGTGTCACAAC